AACTCCTTCAAAGTCAACTTCTACAACATTATCTCCTTCAAAGGCTACTTATTTTAGATCAACTCCTTCAAAGTCAACTTCTACAACATTATCTCCTTCAAAGGCTACTTCTTTAAGATCAACTCCTTCAAAGTCAACTTCTACAACATTATCTCCTTCAAAGGCTACTTCTTTAAGATCAACTCCTTCAAAGTCAACTTCTACAACATTATCTCCTTCAAAGGCTACTTCTTTAAGATCAACTCCTTCAAAGTCAACTTCTACAATGTTAACTCCTTCAAAGCCTACCCCTTCAAGATCAACTCCTATAACGTCAACTCCTACAAAGCAAGGTGTAAGCAGTGCCAACTTCAGAGAAACAGCAACTTCCTTGCTTCTTTCTATGCTTGGAGTTGCTTTCTTTGGAATGTAATTGCTTGATTTCTTGATTTTGTTACTTTGGCCTAATTCTAAAAGATATCCAATTTCTACTTTTCCAATTTGACCTACTTTTCTTTGATTTTCAGACTGCCCCTATAGATATTATATATTAACTAGATTACCAAAAATTCTTTGACATTTTATCCACCCCAGCTACTCAAAAGCAAAGAAGCTTTGTTGGGAATATTACTTCTACGGAAAATTTGGCACTTGAAACTCTACTTACATGCATTGAAATTAGGGTACCTGTTATAGTAACAGATAAAAGCAAAATCGACTACGATAATTATTTGTGAAACTGTTGTTTCTTTAAGTTGAGAAGACAACATCAAGCTTTATCAAGCAAATTAAATAAACAAAAAATGTTTATTCAATGTTCTTTAGACTACTTCGCTACTTACGCTGATAATATTGCTGCTAAGAGGTAGAAATTTAGATATAACGGGTAAATAAGCTGTCACAATATATTTATCGTTTTTCATTTATCGCTGTAATGAACGTTTTGCTTTTGCTTATCATGAGCATTTAGGCCGGTTTGATAATGACATTGTAGTGGTTTAGCCCAATCATCCTTGCTTTGACTTTATCATTTGATGCTGTTGGTAATCATCTTTCTCTAATTTAGCAGTTGTATTTAGATGTAAGAAAGTAATGGTTTTGCTGCAATTTATGTTATAAAGAAGCTTAAACTACTCATGCACGTATAAAACTTAGGCTTATTCATTGCACGAAATTCAAGGGACAGAATAATTGCTTTCAAAGTTCCTTCATCGAAGTTTTGCTATCATTTGTCATTCTGCTTGATAGTAAGGGGGGGGGGGCTCCTCATTCCATTTTACTGCCCCTGTATTTTTCATCTATTTGAGTATCTTATTATTGGGGCTTTCATTTATTTCAAGAATAATGTTTTTTTAAATAGGGAATAAATTGAGATAGCAAATTTTTTGACAATAAATAGCTTCAAATAATTTTTCTCGGGATCTGGGACAAGTCAACCTAAATGCTCTGCGCCCAATTTTTATAAACATTAACAATAAAAATAGAAGAAAAAAGTAAAAGAAGTCCTAGCAGCTGATATTTCCAACTGAACAAAACAATTTTTCTTGACGAAACTCAAAGCTACAGCAAACAGGGTTTAGGGAACAACGAAATTTGGAGATAGTTCGTTGTGAATTAATGAAATTTGGCAATTTTTCAATAGAACGACGGAATTCTCCCTGCTAGCCGGAGACGGATTTGTATGAAAAAGGGCCATGCATTACGGATTTTATAAGTTTTTACAGATTTTTCAAATTCTTCACCTGTCTTCACGAAATCTAGTCTGACTTTTAATTTGTCTATGAATGTGAAATTTAAAAAAGAAAACCAGGTAAATTTTGGAACCTGGCTTATCACTAAAAAAATTTGTGAATCGACGGATTTCTACCCCTAATGATGTCCCCCACTTTAAGCGTTAGAGGTAAAAACGTAGCAACCATCAAAAGCAGCGATTTTTATAAAAGTTTAAAGCTATTGACAAAGTAAAACCTTTTGTCTTTTCTCACGTTGTTTTCTTGTGGCTTGATTTCATGGCCTTTGTCTAGGATTAGAAATAATTTATTTCTAGTTACCGTACAGAGCCATAATTCCGCACAAAATTGTTTAGACAAATTCAAATGTTTGCAATTTTCTACTTTGCCCTTCGAAACTCGAATCCCTCCTTATTCTCTACCAATTCAATGTTGAGTTAGTGTGGGCCTCATAACATTAATTTAACATTGAATCGGGAGCGAGGAAAAGTTATTTTTGAAAGGAAAAACAAAATATCGACTTCTCTTGAAAAGTTTCAACTATCTTTTGCTAAGATTTCAGGCTTTATCAACTGCAGCTAGTGACTTCTCCTCGTGCTATCTGATTAGCAAAATCACATGACCAAGCGTCTTTATTTTGGCAATTTGAACACTTCAGTAGACTCTATAAATAATAGCTCCAGGTGCCTTCAAAAGATTGTGCAGTATGAGAACAGCATACGTGTTGACGTCATTGGGAAACCACTACCATTCATGACTGCCAAAAGGCTTGTTTCTGGGCACTTGCTTCAGCAGGTGTTTTCAAAAGTGTGCAGCATCAATACCTTTTGAATTCAAAATCTTGAATTGCTCCACACAATTCTTTGCCGTACCTTTTTATGCCTCCCAGAAATACCTTCAATGTGAATTTGTTTAATTATTTGAGAAACACGTTGATCCTCTTTTGTATATTTGTTTATTTCAATATTACTTGCGTCATCATCAGTTATCTATCTATATACCCATAAAGAGTTCTAAAGTGATGACGTTACAAAAATTTATTTTGAGAATATTTGAATTCGGATCCCATAGCTTGAAAGAGCATCATTAAATACCTCTAAACTTGAAACATTAGTCAAATGTGTTATGAATTGGCTGAGATATGGCCACATGTGTATTGCCTCTTTCCCCTTTGAATTTTGGTCTCTCTTCATAACTTTATGAGCAGAGCGAAAAAAAGTAATTCGTTAGGGAACTTCAAACATTTCATTGGGAAGATCTCAACTGGTTTTAGACATACTTGACTAATTTTGCTTATTTGGAAGTGTTTCGTGGTGATCTTCTATGTTATGTGATTAAAACTGAAAAATTCTAAAATTCGAACAAGTGGAAAATTCAATGAACAAGTCAATAAAAACAGGAAAATGAAAAGGCTAAAAATTAAATAGAATCCCACAATAGAATTCCATAATAACTGGTCGTCTTTGACTGTAACATGTTATCTAGCTTTCAAGCCCCCTCCCCCTGCTTAAGCTTTGACATTACTGCAGATCCTTGTTATATTTACGAGCAATGGCAGATTCATTTCCTTCTAAGATAACGCAGGGCCTTTTTCAATATACTAATTGGAGGGCGATTGCGCTTCTATCTTCAGTGAATCTCTATTGTTTTAAACAAAGGTTTGCCCCCATAGCCAATTTGATTTCAAAAATACTATGGGAAAACGATCGAAAGTTTAACATCGGGAAATAAACTGTCGATAGCCTCTAAGGATATCATCAAATCATCAATTGACCAAAATCAACAAGTTCTCTCTTACATCCAATGACCATTTTTTTCATGATTTGATACTAAACTGAACTTCACCAGTTAATACTCTTTGCAAAACTATCGTTTAGAGTTGTCGCTTTTTGGGTTGGATGTAAGAGAGATCTTGTTGATTTTGGTCAATTGATGATTTGATGATATCCTTAGAGGCTATCGACAGTTTATTTCCCGATGTTAAACTTTCGATCGTTTTCCCATAGTATTTTTGAAATCAAATTGGCTATGGGGGCAAACCTTTGTTTAAAACAATGGAAATTCACTGAAGATAAAGGGGCAATCGCCCCCTAATTAGTATGTTGAAAAAGGCCCTGCATTATCTTAGAAGGAAATGAATCTGCCATTGCTCGTAAATATAACAAGGATCTGCAGGAATGTCAAAGCTTAAGCAGGGGGAGGGGGCTTGAAAGCTAGATAACATGTTACAGTCAAAGACGACCAGTTATTATGGAATTCTATTGTGGGATTTTATTTAATTTTAGCCTTTTCATTTTCCTGTTTTTATTCACTTGTTCATTGAATTTTCCACTGGTTCGAATTTTAGAATTTTTCAGTTTTAATCACATAACATAGAAGATCACCACGAAACACTTCCAAATAAGCAAAATTAGTCAAGTATGTCTAAAACCAGTTGAGATCTTCCCAATGAAATGTTTGAAGTTCCCTAACGAATTACTTTTATTTTCGCTCTGTTCATAAAGTTATGAAGAGAGACCAAAATGCAAAGGGGAAAGAGGCAATACACATGTGGCCATATCTCAGCCAATTCATAACACATTTGACTAATTTTGCAAGTTTAGAGGTATTTAATGATGCTCTTTCAAGCTATGGTTTCCGAATTCAAATATTCTCAAAATAAATTTTTGTAACGTCATCACTTTAGAACTCTTTATGGGCATATAGATAGATAACTGATGATGACGCAAGTAATATTGAAATAAACAAATATACAATAGAGAATCAACGTGTTTCTCAAATAATTAAACAAATTCTCATTGAAGGTATTTCTGGGAGGCATAAAAAGGTACGGCAAAGAATTGTGTGGAGCAATTCAAGATTTTGAATTCAAAAGGTATTGATGCTGCACACTTTTGAAAACACCTGCTGAAGCAAGGGCCCAGAAACAAGCCTTGTGGCACTCATGAATGGTAGCGGTTTCCCAATGACGTCAACACGTATGCTGTTCTTATACTGCACAATCTTTTGAAGGCACCTGGAGCTATTATTTATAGAGTCTACTGAAGTGCTCAAATTGTCAAAATAAAGACGCTTGGTCATGTGATTTTGCTAATCAGATAGCACGAGGAGAAGTTACTAGCTGCAGTTGATAAAGCCTGAAATCTTAGCAAAAGATAGTGGAAACTTTTCAAGAGAAGTCGATATTTTGTTTTTCCTTTCAAAAATAACTTTTCCTCGCTCCCGATTCAATGTTAAATTAATGTTATGTGGCACACACTAACCCAACATTGAATTGGTAGAGAATAAGGAGAGATTCGAGTTTCGAAGGGCAAAGTAGAAAATTGCAAACATTTGAATTTGTCTCAACAATTTTGTGCGGAATTATGGCTCTGTACGGTAACTAGAAATAAATTATTTCTAATCCTAGACAAAGGCCATGAAATCAAGCTAGAAGAAAACAACGTGAGAAAAGACAAAAAGTTTTACTTTGTCAATAGCTTTAAACTTTTATAAAAATCGCTGTTTTTGATGGTTGCTACGTTTTTACCTTTAACACTTAAAGTGGGGGTCATCATTAGGGGTAGAAATCCGTCATTTCGCAATTTTTTAATGAAAATCGGCTGTTCCCTGTTTCAAAATTGACCTGGTTTTTTTTCTAAATTTCAAATTCATAGACAAATTAAAAGTCAGACTAGATTTCGTGAAGACAGGTGAAGAATTTGAAAAATCTGTAAAACCTTATAAAATTCGTATTGCATGGCCTTTTATCAAACAAATCCGCCTCCGGCTAGCAGGAAGAATTCCGTCGTTTTGTCGAAAATTGCCAAATTCCATTAATTCACAACGAACTATCTCCAAATTTCGTTGTTCCGTAAACCCTGTTTGCTGTAGCTTTGAGTTTCGTCAAGAAAAATTGTTTTGTTCAGTTGGAAATATCAGCTGCTAGGACTTCTTCTTCTTTTTTCTTCTATTTTTATTGTTAATGTTTATAAAAATTGGGCGCTGAGCGTTTAGATTGTCTGGTCCCAGATCCCGAGAAAAATTATTTGAAGCTATTTATTGTCAAAAAATTTGCTATCTCCATTTATTCCCTATTTAAAAAAACATTATTCTTGAAATAAATGAAAGCCCCAATAATAAGATACTCAAATAGATGACAAATACAGGGGCAGTAAAATGGAATGAGGAGCCCTCCCCCCCTTACTATCAAGCAGAATGACAAATGATAGCAAAACTTCGATGAAGGAACTTTGAAAGCAATTATTCTGTCCCTTGAATTTCGTGCAATGAATAAGCCTAAGTTTTATACGTGCATGAGTAGTTTAAGCTTCTTTATATAATAAATTGCAGCAAAACCATTACTTTCTTACATCTAAATACAACTGCTAAATTAGAGAAAGATGATTACCAACAGCATCAAATGATAAAGTCAAAGCAAGGATGATTGGGCTAACCCACTACAATGTCATTATCAAACTGGCCTAAATGCTCATGATAAGCAAAAGCAAAACGTTCATTACAGCGATAAATGAAAAACGATAAATATATTGTGACAGCTTATTTACCCGTTATATCTAAATTTCTACCTCTTAGCAGCAATATTATCAGCGTAAGTAGCGAAGTAGTCTAAAGAACATTGAATAAACATTTTTTGTTTATTTAATATGGTTGATAAAGCTTGCTGTTGTCTTCTTAACTTAAAAAAACAACAGTTTCACAAATAATTATCGTGGTCGATTTCGCTTTTATCTGTTACTACAACAGGTACCCTAATTTCAATGCACGTAAGTAGAGTTTCAAGTGCCAAATTTTCCGTAGAAGTAATATTCCCAACAAAGCTTCTTTGCTTTTGAGTAGCTGGGGTAGATAAAATGTCAAAGAATTTTTGGTAATCTAGTTAATATATAATATCTATAGGGGCAGTCTGAAAATCAAAGAAAAGTAGGTCAAATTGGAAAAGTAGAAATTGGATATCTTTTAGAATAAGGACAAAGTAACAAAATCAAGAAATCAAGCAATTACATTCCAAAGAAAGCAACTCCAAGCATAGAAAGAAGCAAGGAAGTTGCTGTTTCTCTGAAGTTGGCACTGCTTACACCTTGCTTTGTAGGAGTTGACGTTATAGGAGTTGATCTTGAAGGGGTAGGCTTTGAAGGAGTTAACATTGTAGAAGTTGACTTTGAAGGAGTTGATCTTAAAGAAGTAGCCTTTGAAGGAGATAATGTTGTAGAAGTTGACTTTGAAGGAGTTGATCTTAAATAAGTAGCCTTTGAAGGAGTCAACGTTGTAGAAGTTGACTTTGAAGAGGTTGACTTTGTAGGAGTTGCTGTAGTTTCCAAAAAGCAATCTTTGGTGACATTCTGACTTCCTCCCCTCAGGTAGGCACCAACAACATCAAAACCATTAATGAAAGCGCTTTGGATACAATCTTCGAAGAAACCACCAGCCATATTATTGCTCCCGCCAACATGCACTGTTACATTGGCAAAATTCGGATCGTCTGGTATTCTGCTTCTATGGTTATACGTGGGGCTATAAGCGTAATAGAGATACGGCCATCCAAACTTTGAATCTTTCATGATTAATATCTCTTGAGAGATCACAGCGCCCTCCCCTAAGCTTTGACATTCCTGCAGATCCTTGTTATATTTACGAGCAATGGCAGATTCATTTCCTTCTAAGATAAAGCAGGGCCTTTTTCAATATACTAATTAGAGGGCGATTGCCCTTCTATCTTCAGTGAATCTCTATTGTTTTAAACAAAGGTTTGCCCCCATAGCCAATTTGATTTCAAAAATACTATGGGAAAACGATCGAAAGTTTAACATCGGGAAATAAACTGTCGATAGCCTCTAAGGATATCATCAAATCATCAATTGACCAAAATCAACAAGATCTCTCTTACATCCAACCCAAAAAGCGACAACTCTAAACGATAGTTTTGCGAAAAGTATTAACTGGTGAAGTTCAGTTTAGTATCAAATCATGAAAAAGTTAAATCAGCTAAATTACATGCTTTTACATAAGGAAAAGGTCCCAAATAATTCTTCTCTGCATGATAAGAAAACGTTTGCAGGGGCGGCGCCAAGAATTTCAGAATGAGGAGGCTTAAGTTGATAACATAATTAGACAAAAAAAATCTTTTGAAATAACGCAATAAAATGCTTCACGATATTTTATGCCCATGATTTTTGGGGGCATTCGTTATGCTAGCGGTACATTGGAAGGCCTGTGAGAGGTTGTCGCGGGCCTTAGGTACATTTAAAGAGGGAGCTGCCTTGCGAGCGAAGCGAGCAGAAAATTTTTGCAACCACGTTCTCTAGACTAGCCTAAAATACATTTAAGAATATTCATTGCGGTCTTTTTTTGCAAAACTTTGGCTATTTTTAAGGCATGGTTTTTTACGTTTGATTAATTCCAGTCTTATAATGGAATTCGTTACCTTATGGGGCACCATATACCCCAGCTTCTTCCTTTGAAATAAGGCAACACTATAAGAGAGTTTATCGCACTTTTATTTTCTTCTATTTCTATTTTTTCCTTTTCTTTTTATTCTTTTAAAAACACTTTTTTTGCAAAAAAAGCTGGAGCCGCCCCCCCCCACAGTCCCCCACCTGGCGCCGCCCATGGTTTATCGCAATAAGGCTATTTACATCAGCCTCCGTTTATTTTGCTTCGACATTTGCGTTCCATTTATTGTGATTCCTGTGACTAGATGCTTCGAAGATAAAAATGACTGCAAAGACTACAAATCGATATTAGCCAAATTCTAGATGCTAGCTGGCCAAATTCTTGTTTTTCTTCCTGGAAATGTAACATCAGAAAATTCAGAGCGATACAGACACTCCCTCTTTACAAAATCAATTTTCTGACTAGCGAACAAAATTCCAATACAAAATTAAGGTCATAAAGCTCCCTCAGAAAAACATGCCCTTAAAGCTCCCTCATAGACATCAGGACTCAGTGATGAGGCTACGTTGCTACGAGTTGGGCAGTTGGTGCATCGACCCAAGTCGCTCAACACAACCTACCATAAATCTCTAACAGGAAGGGTTACTAAAGTATGTTACATAATAACCCTTAAATCTGGTTTTATTATTGAAACGCAACGGGAAGCATTGCTCATTCTTGAATGAAAACAACGCTTTTTGAAAATCGAGATGTGTCATTTCTGTGATTCCCGGTTATCAACTTTGCAAAACAAGCACATGCTATAAAATGAGACAAAAATATGGGTGCTGAGGCTGAGCAATATTTTTAAAAGTTAGCTGACTCTAAGCCAGAATATTCTTATAAACAATATCACAAAAAGATTCTGTGTCTGATGACTGTTGAATGAATAACTCTAGAATGCTTTGCAAACATTAAAAATAAATCCAAATGAAAAGAAACAAGAAGAAACATCAAGCATACCAACAGAAATGATATATGCTAATGATTGTGATTTCTTGACAGAAGACAACTCCCGTTTTGAATTATTGAAAGAAATTGTAAAAGATTGCCTTAGGAGATTGAATTTGAAAGTAAACAAAGTAAAAACGGGAGAAACCATTAACAAAAAAAAACGCTCTAAAACGAAAATTGGAGATGGACTAAACAACTTGGAAGTTTGATTGGTGAGTACCAGAATATGAAAAGAAGGGAGCAATTTTCAATTATAGCTCAAGCAACGGCAAAAAATTATGGATGAGCAAGAAAGTCAATATTCAAACGAAGCTTGATATCTACAAATCAATTGTAAAGCCAGTGTTAAAATACAATTTTGGAGCACTCACAAAAAAATGAAAGCAAAGAACTAGACTGAATCAATCGAATGCAACTTCGTCAAGTATGGAATGATAATAGTGAGAGAAGACACAATAAACAACTATACGAGAAAAACAGAGAAAAACTGCTGAGCGCTGAAATGAAGGAAGCAAGATGGAGAACATTTGGTCATATATTGCGGTTAACAACAAGCACACCATGTGAACAGTCTATGAATAACTACTTTTGATGTCCACCTAAAGCACTGAAATTCCTTGGAAGAAAAAGTTCTACCCTGCCTGTATCGCTTGAAATAAACATCGTAGGAGCAGCAAAATACCATCAAAGATTGCAAATAAGGCATTTTAAAAAAGAGAAGACCTTAGCACCCTGTATAAGTATAAGTTCTTTCATTGTTATTAGAAGCGATTTTTGTGTGGGTATAAATTAAAGAGAAGTCATCTGCTAAATTATCTTGTTCTTGCTATATAGCCTAGAATTTTGCGTTTTGTTCCTTAGATTAAATCCAGTTTTGTTTCATTTATTTATGTTAAGTTAGCTATATAAGTTCTTTTGCTTTGTTTTTATTTAAATATATTATACAATCTATTTGCACTAATAGACAGTACATAAAGCCTGACAATCTGACATTCAAGCTAATGTTGCTTTCTCAACGGATTATTGTCTTTTGCTCCCAAGAGTAAAATCTGAAGCAGGACGGAAAACGTTTGCATTCCGGGGAGTAAAAATTTTTAATAAAGTCCCCAGCAAACTACAAAGTGAAACATCTATACTGAAGTTCAAGAGTTGCTGCAAGGATATCGACTTTGATTTTTAACTTTTTCTCTAGATTTAATTATTGTAAAAACTTTTTAAATTATATTGTTGTAACATTTATATCGTAGGTACATTAGTTTCACAGGTCCTTGATTGATAGCAGCAAACTAATTTTTGCTGAACAAGTTTACCTGTATATATGTGGTCTTATTATTATTATTATTAGTAGAAGGGAGACCAGGCTTTTATAATCTGCCAGGTGACGTTTTTGAAAATGCATGGGTGCCACGTGACTGATGACATCACTTAGCAGTAAAAAATCAGACAAAATCATCGCTAGCTCTTTACTAGATTGTTATTTTTTGGCGCAATTTACATATTTTGACTCGTCTCGTTGCAAGATTTTAATTGATGTATAGTTAAGAATGATATGCCACCGTCAGTGTTTTCATTAAGACGTCATCAAAAATTTTGCATGACGTCATTTAAGATCTTATTGTCATTAAATGATAAGTTGGCATAACTTTGTATTAATATGAGGCTGGATGTCAGCAGAAGCATTTCCTCCATTTTTTTTCAATCAAAAGATTAGTATTTAGATCATTTAACTTACGTTTGTGCGAACTGCAGTAGCCAAAGTTCAACAACAACAACCACATCAGCAGAAACAACAACAACAGCAACAGCACTAACTATTGCACTTCCTGAACTTATATGTAAAAGAGTTAGTGGAACCGCCTCAGATTTCTTGGAACATGAACAGCCAGCCAATTTGTATTAAAGATTTAGAAGATTTTGCCCTCAAGGCTCTCCCGAAAAACGCCTATGGTTATTATGCATCAGGTGCGGATGACGAACAAACACTAAGAGATAACACAAATGCGTTCAAGAGGTTAGTATTTCGGCGCAAAAGCACTAAACCCCTGAACGCAAAATTTCGCAATTTATTATTCTTTAAGTAAGGCAAATTGATGTATAAAGGCAGCAGATAATGAAATGCAGACTTTGTCTCAGCAACAATACGCTTTTTATGTTCCTGTGATGTGGGGGTTATTATATTTCTATCTGATTGAAAGCCTGAAAATCTGGGGTATTTGTTAGAAATATAATGATACAGCTTCATGTCCAAATAAAATGGCTCATTCAGCGACAAAGTGTGACATACCTGTCATTACAACTAATTCAATAGACCCATCAGATGCATTTGTAGGCATGATTTTACAATAGCTCATTGGTATAACTGTTACTAACATTAACAAACATTTTTTGCCGTCAACAATCTCACCACTATTTTTATTGACAATAGTTTTTTGATGTCTAATAGAAGAAAACATGCACGTGTTCAAAATATAAAGTTTACATCCATCAATTGGGGCCTCACATTGGGTCCCTGAAACAGATTAGGCATCCAAAAGCTCACCTTTATTCCCAGCTGTTAAACCTCTCACATCCCTAGTCTTGCCCAGTCCATCCCCATCCATTTTATCTATATGCTCCTGCACACAGATTGTGCCCCTTGTCCAACCCATGTGACCCTTCCCTTCCGTATTGAGCCCAGCCCATTCCCTCCCACTTTACACAGATGAGAATCCCTATATTTCCTTTTTCTTACCCTAGTTTCCCTCCCCTTTATTATCAGCATCCAGCCTTCTCCACTTCATACTCTGTCTATCCACTTCATCCTCCTTTTCCCAGCTCATTTCACCCTTGCTTCTCATAGCCATTGTCAACCTTGCCCCTGCCCATTCTTCCTTTATGGCCAGGCTATTTATATGTTTGTTATGCACATCACACTCCCCACTTCTCCCAACCCTTCTTCCCAAAGCCATGTCCAACTCTGTCTGTCCCTACCCACTAAATTCAGGTGCCTCCATGCACTCAGAATACTTTAATAAGCACTCTGTAACTTTTTCTTCATTGTGTAACATATATTTTTCATCAGTATTTCCTTATGTTTGCAAAAACGTTGTGGCAAGCTTGCAAGGGGTGCCTACATGAAATGAAGATACAGGATTAAAGCCCTTAATTGTCCATCCTGGGTTTCTGGCTGATGAGTTGCTTTTTAATCATTTTCTGCCCATATACAGGCTAATTGCTCACAACATACAAGGGTGACACGCAACCACCCCCCCCCCTGTCTGTGTTTGAGGCTGTAATCAGGTGGTAATGACTATTCCTTATTTCCTCTTTTCTTATTTTTCCATTTTGAATATCACATTTTGTTTACACATTGATTTTTCAGTTTTTACCTTCTATGCCTATGAAAACAAATTTTTCCAGTTCTATGCATGTATAAAATTTACACGCAGATTTTTCAAACTCATTAAATGGTGATGCTTGCATCATTTAACATTACCTTCTTTTTTTCTTACCTGATACTTCTCCAGGTATTGTTCTAAATGTCAATTATGAAATCCAAATATTTTACTATCATTTTATTTTAGTCCTAATTTGCTTTTTCAGACAAAAATGGCTATAGAATAAGCCAAACCTAATAATTCATTTTTCACTTACATAAACAAAATATTTTCATGTCGATTTTGAATAAAATTTTAATCACACAAGCTCTTATCCATATGCAGGTTACGTTTAAGGCCAAACATACTGAGGGATGTCAGCTCTGTTGACACATCCACAACAGTTTTGGATCAAAAGATAGACTTTCCAATATGCATTGCACCAACGGCTATGCAGAGAATGGCACATCCTGATGGAGAATTAGCAACAGCTAAAGGTATTTGATTTTTGGTTCTTTGATTCATAAATTATGTTTTGAGTTTAAGGTATTATCTGATTTAAGTTTATTTAGTAAGAGGGGCAAGGATCTAATAAAATTGTCATTATTCAATGTTTATTAATGCTCAACATATAATGGAACTAAATGCAGTAGCTTTTGTTGACACTGAACAGAATATGAATGATTTAGCTAGCCATCAAACATCTTTGTGCATGGGTGTTAAATATTATAAGAGAATACCCCAATTTCAATAAATTTATGCTCATTTTTTAAATAATTTAAAACTTCATTGCAAGACCTATGCTCTTATCAGGTTTTACCTTTGTTTTAGCAAAGATAATTTTTTTGTCATTTTCAGTACTTTGATGAATTTGTTTTTAGGCATAGTTAGGAATTCATTTGTTCTCTTAACAAGTTTGAGGTTTGCAAAAATCCTAAGACTGTTCATTTTTTTAGGTTTCTTTAGTATTGATTTTTAACATAGATATCTAGGCAGGGTCCGAATTTGGAAAAACGTGCCCATAGATATTGGGTCCCTATGACCAACAAAACCATCAACAAAATGGTAGTTCAATTATTGTTACTACAAATTTTTATAAAAAACCAACATGGCAGCAAGGCTTTTTAATGCTAAATTTATTTTCAGTTTATGGTTTTGCTTATTTTCTTTAACTGGTCATATATATTTTAATCAGTTTTTGATACTATTTTGGTTATCTTTCTTACTTTGGCTTATCTCATATCAATGAGTTTAAAAAAACATCGTAATATGGCTAAAGTAGGCTAAATTTAACAAAACAAACTAAATGGTTTTTATTTAGAAATCACCCGACGTCGTTGTGAAATAAACTTTGTAACATTTGTTTCATCATTGACTATGACGAACCACTTAGCCACTGTTTTGAAAATATCTTCTCTCCTGACATTCTTGGTAAAAATATCTCCGTTTCCTTTCTTTTCACGCTCAAAAGGTATGGTGTAATTTCTTCTAAGTTGCTCATCTGCCGTTTCAACTATTTGGTAAATTAACAGTTTTTTTGTATTTTGCCTAAATTTTTTTAAGGATGAAGATTGAACTATTTGATCTATTTGAAGCTTATTTTATTATATTTTCCCATCAGCTGCAAAAGCATTTGATACATGTATGATGTTGAGCTCGTGGGCAACGACGTCAATAGAAGATGTTGCCAACGCCGCTCCTGGAGGCCTCCGATGGTTCCAGTTATACATTTACAAAGATCGAAATATTGTTCTTGATCTCGTGAGACGTGCGGAGAAATGTGGATACAAAGCGATAGCGGTCACTGTGGACACGCCGATTCTTGGGCAACGACTTGAAGACGTACGAAACAAGTTTGCATTGCCATCACATTTTTCGCTTGCTAACTACAAGCAAGACGATGAACATTCGGACGGAGTTAAAAGTGACAAAGATTCTGGCCTGGCAGCGTATGTGAAGAGCCTCATCGATCCTTCGTTGAATTGGAAGGACATTGAATGGTTAAAGAAACAGACATCATTACCAATTCTAGTCAAAGGGGTTTTGACGAAAGAGGCAGCGTTAGAAGCATTGGAACATAATGTTGATGGAATAATTGTATCGAATCATGGAGCACGTCAGCTTGATGGAGTCACATCAACAGTAAGAGCTGTATTTCTATCATTTCGCTGTTCAGAAACTGATCATTTTTGTTCTACGAAACTATTGTTGTTTTCATTGACTAGATTTGTTGTCGTTCTGTTCTACAGATCGATGCATTACCTGAAGTTATTGAAGCAGTGAATGGCAAGGTTGAAGTGTACTTAGATGGTGGAATTCGCCAGGGCACTGATGCCTTCAAAGCGCTGGCCTTGGGCGCCAAGGCAGTGTTTATCGGAAGACCAGTCTTGTGGGGCCTTACTTACGGAGTAAGTCGGAGTAGTACTGTTTTTCGTCAACTAATCTCAAAAGACCTTTTTTCCAGTTTTTAGTGAAGTTCATTTCATTTTATTTGCTGTGGCGATTCTTGCTGCTTATGTGTACTTAGTGAGCAATTTGTTTGTTTGTGTACTTATTTGGCAAATGAGAAATGGCAAAATGGCCGTAAGCTTTGAAATGTTGACAACGCCGTAAGACATTGTCAACACTTTGAGCTTAAAATTTGAATAATGTTCCTTCTAGAAAGTAAGAAATGTTAACTTTTCATTGGGCAGTTTTGAAGCTAAGCTGAAACCTGTGCTAGTTAAAAACGCCGATGACAGATTATGTTAAACGAAACACGATTCAGAAAAACGTTGGTAAGATCACATTCAGGTATTGGAGGACCAATATGATCATTATTTGCCTTGTTCTTTGTGGAGAGTGACATATTTCCTGTCGTTATTAAAGAAGGGATTAAATGTTGTTTTGAGCAATCTACAGCATTATTTTTCCATCAAAAACAGCGCAATGGATGGGAAAGGTAGAGTTGAAGATTTCTGACATAGTTTATCGACTGACTTCCGTTGCAACATTTAACGAAATGGTCACCACCATTCCAACACCAAAATGTTCAGCCAAGTCTATTTCCAAATAACAGAGAGGAGAATGAACAGTTTTAGACATCACAGCATAAAATAAGTATCTCTCAAGTTAATGCAAAGAAAAACTTTTTTATTGCAAATATTTCAAAGGTACTCGTACCATCATAACTCAACTTTCGTGTCTTCTATCATCGTAGATCATAACCCAAGTGTCAGTATTGTTCATAAATAGACAAAATCAAGAATATTCACTTGTGTATTCTAGTTCCAAAACTTGATAAATTTCCCTTTTTTCATCTAAGAAAGTCATGTTGCAACTTTTAGATTACTTGCTCTAGCTAGTTTATTATTGGTTAGCTCAAAAACTTTGCATCAGTGCCGCCATTTCTGCTTCAAGTTGTGCAATACGTTTGCTCACTAAGTGTACATTGATGGCAAACAGAGCTTACTTAAAGTAGAAACATATTGATTTTGATTTCGCTACTAACACTTGGCCTATGTTGTGCAGCTTTCTTGTTTCAAAGAAAATCACCAAGGGCCGTCATAATTAATATTTTCAAGTCACTTAATACATTTCCACGTGTTGCCCTAATGGATGAAATGTTTGATTACTGTTGTGTCATTGTTGCTTCGTTAGGGAGAGGTTGGTGTGAAAAAGGTTTTAGAGATCTTAAAAAATGAATTTGAAAGATGTTTGACATTAACAGGTATGTGTTTGCTGCTTCTAGTATTGTTTTGTATATTTCTCATTAAAATCTTCAGCCCATGAACAGTACCCTGCCTAATCTACTGTTTTCATTTTCAACTCGGCTCCTCTGTTTCCTTTTCACCTTTCTGTTAAGTTGAATTAAAATTCTTGATAGCCAAACAATGAATTTTTAATTCAACTCAAAAGGAAAGATAGGAAAAAGGATACAGAGGAGTCGAGTTGCAAACAGTCTGCGACCAGGCAAGTGAACAACTGCTCCTTTCGTAATTCTCGAATTGTTCCTTTTCATTAAACTATTATTCTTTTTTCAAATAAATTGTGAATATGATAACTGAATTGAAATCAAATTCACTTCTTAGTTTTTCATGAATTTTGATAAACCAGGTCTTCTCATTAAACCCTTCCTTTGTCTAACGTTGGGGAAAAGTTTTAAATTTCGCCATTTCTACATTTCTTTTCACTTTTGAATGCTGTTTAATTTGCTAAATATATCACGGATCTTACATTTTTTTCGAGCAAAAAGGTGTGCCCATTATTCAGATGTTAGCTTTAATATAATCAAGTTTTGGATTATTTAGCAATTGTTCATGAAATAAATTTATAGACAGAAGTTCACACATTTCATAAAATGTGCAATATTTTCACATATCATAAAATGAGCAGTATTTTCACATATCATAAAATGAGCAATATTTTCACATATCATAAAATGAGCAATACTTTCACATATCATAAAATGAGCAATATTTTCACATATCATAAAATGAGCAATACTTTCATATATCATAAAATGAGCAATATTTTCATATATCATAAAATGAGCAGTATTTTCACATATCATAAAATGAGCAATACTTTCATATATCATAAAACGAGCAATATTTCCACATATCATAAAATGAGCAATATTTTTAAATATCATAAAATGCGTCTGATTATATAGATTCTAGTATTTTATTTCTTTTCCTGGTTCTCAAACTATTATAAAGTAATATAGACACCCTATGACTGCCCATTAGCCATATGCTAGTTATCTAAAGAGTTAGTTGAAATGTGAGTATCAGCTCGAGAACATGTCTTTTGTTCAAACATTTCTAAAAAGTATAAAAATATAATGCAAATGTATTTTTCTTTGTCCTGATAGGATGCAGGAGTGTCAGCGAAATAAAGAAATCGATGGTTGCACACGAGAGTCGTTACTATTGCAGACTGTAGACAATGTTGATAATACTTCATTCTCTGACATTACTGTTATGAGATTGTAAGGACATTCTCTGACTCTACTCAAGAATCAAATCTTATTTGTGAAAAATAGATGAAATGGCAATGCAGATTTTTTAAATCGGTAAAATTTTAACATAAATCTTCGATTAAATAAATGTTGATATGTAAATTCAAATTTTAATAAAATTTTCATCATGCAACGAATGTTAATTAAAATTGATTCCGTTTCGGTATATCTATGTCTCATTGAGTTGTGATCTATCAATCAAACAAGGCAGTAGGGACTCGGTATCTTTTCGTTAGAGAATTCAGCAATGCCATACAGTTCCTGACGAGCCATTGCTATCGTTAAAACATAGGCACGAAAGGCTATATAAGAACTACTGGCAGATGTATGGAGCCTTTGATGGTAATTTTAATTGCAGAACAGCAAGGCCAACAATCTCTTCGAGCCGGATGATAAAAATAGTAATTCAATCCGATGATGAACAAAGCACCTTGTTATTAATCGAAAAATGAATTTTAAAATTCATCTTTGCAAGTTCAACTTTTTGTTACAAAGATATAAAGATATGAAGTCTTAATATATAATATTAAGCAAAGAAATGATATGAAAAGGCTCTATCTTTTAACAGAAAAATTTTTTTTTCTCTTAAAAACCTAATTTCATGCATATTTTACTCAACAATATGTGAAACCGAGCGACAAGTTTGGAAATCACAGTGATGGATTTTCACGCAATTTTTGTGTGCTAAGTTTTTCAAAATTCAGCTGTTTCTTGATTTTCTCTTTCAACATAAAGTTTGTCGATTATTTCTGATTTTACCCATTACTTATAGCATTTACTAAAAAAAAGGTGTGGATTCCGGTTTCGTTTTGCATCAAGAAACATTTTCAATGGCTCAATTCTATTCAATATTATTCAATATATTATTCAGTTCTAAATGTCTTATTGGCATTTTACGCAGCAATTATCATTAAATGCTCTTTTTAACAAACCCACAACTTTTACTACAGATCCACAACTTCACAAAGTGAGTCAAATCCACATTTACACTCATTTTTTTAAAAAGAAACTAAGGTCCAGTGCTGGTAGGCAGTTTCTAAAATTTTCTAGTCATTTTGCTATCAAAAGTTTCTTACATTTTTCTTAAATTTCTTAGGTAATGAATTTTTTAAACGTGCTATCAAGGTAAAGTAAATAGTTAACTCACATTGAGAAATAAACTAACAAAGTGATCAAGGAATTTTCTTTTCCTAGAATGACTAACTCTGTTGAGATTTATCGAAAGCATTTGAAGCGTATGGATTGAGCAAACAATCACTGATGTTAATACAAAATTTCCTAAAGGACAGGACTCAAAGAGTGAAAATCAATTCTCAAACAAGCACGTGGAAAAATGTTACACAAGGAGTCCCACAGGAATCATTTCTCGGCCTCCTATTATTTAATTTTCTTCTAAAAAAGATATTTTCTATTTCATGACTACAGGAAATCTTTGTAACTATACCGATGACAATACAATATGGACAGTAGGTAAAAATGTTGATGATATAATATATAAATTAGAAACATAAGTAAAAACTCTAAAAAATTGTTTAAGGATAATTCATTGTTACTAAATGACTAAATGAAGACAAATGTAATTTTATGATATTTGAACATAAACAAACCAGAACTGAAAAAGCAAATATAAAAATAGGAAATGCCACAATCGAAAAGATGAAAAAGGCAAAACTACTTGGAATAACTTTAGACAGCAAACTAATATTTGAAGAACATATAAAAAAGTTATGTAAAGTAGCAGGTAAAAAGATAAAGGCCCTAGTCAGAATCGCCTCTTATATGAATGAATATAAAATATCACTATTCATGAAAACTTTATGCTTAGTCAATTTAACTATTGCCCTCTTTTATGGATGTATTGTAGCCGAAAATCTGGAAAACTAATTGAAAGTATCCATAAAAGGGCACTGAGAGTGGCTTACAATGATTTTGAATCAAGCTTTGAAAATATTCTCTTACAAAAAATGATGTCAGGATACATCAAAAGAGCCTACAACTGCTAGCAATAGAAATATACAAAAAAGTAAATAACTTAAATCTAGTATTTATGAAAGAAATATTTCAGTTGAATGAACTTGCATTTAATTTACGAAATCAATCGTTTATACAAAAAACCGAACACTGTTACTTATGGGCTGGATACAATATTCTATAGATGTAATGAATTGTGGAATACTATATCATTTGACATTCGATTGACAGAAAATTGTAAAGTATTAAAAAACTAAATTTGTTTACAAACGGGTCTCGTGTAGACTATGCACACCATATATTTCTAACATTGGATACTTAAAAACATCACGATTTTGCTTAGTTATATTTGTTATTATTACAAGTTGGTGTTAATTAGCTGTTTCTTAGCTATTGTTTTGTAAACCAACATTAAATAAAGTGAATAAAAAAAGTTAAACTCATCAATGTCAAGTTGAAGTCACAACAAATTGTTAAATGGAAACTTCTTGAGTGTGCAATTTATTTACTGAGACTGAATTCAAACTGCATTTCAAGTGTAGTGTTGCAATATACAGTGATGTTCAATGTCAAGACTGTTTCTAGCGTCAACGCGGAAATTAAAAACTGCAAATCATAAAAGTTTCTTAGCTTTTTTCAATTTGGGTAGGGTTGTTTCTTAACTTTCGAAAAATTGAGCCCACCGTTTCTTATAACCTGTTTCTTTTGAAAAAGATGAGTGTATTTTTGGCTCTGGGCCACATTTACAGTTTTATAAAAACTATGGGGTGAATATGGTGGATCCTATTGATATTGTTCGGGAGATGGATCATACCCTTCTTTCAGACATGCACTAGCCCCTGTTTCAGGGTCATTGCATATGCGCATTATCACTTAAAGCCTTGGCGGGAAGTTCAAGACTTTTGTGATCGTTGACAGAAAACTGTTATTAATGCGCATGTGCTATCACCCTGCAACATTGATTGGTTTAAAACGGTATTGTTTCGAAACAAAGACGAAATGTTTCGTCTTCCGTGATTCTGGTAAATTTACCAGGAAGCTGTTAAAATGGAATGGTCCGGGTCGCAAAGGATCATGGTTATACCCATGGACATACCCCTGTTAGTGTAATTGCGTCAGTTAATGCTGCAAGGATAGAGTTGCTGCAAGTTTCTTTGGTGACAGCACATGGTAGCAGACCAGACAGCTTGAAAATGAAGACTATTTCGGTTGCTTTTGTAGTTTGTTTGCTGTTTTTACATCAGTGTGAAGTTGATGCTAAAATCTGGGCCTTGCTTGTTGCTGGCTCAAACGGATGGTACAATTACAGGCATCAGGTATTTATGATGGCCGAGATCGAAATTGTCTTTCATTTTGTGGGGCTAGTCCTACGCACCTTCTTGAATGCCCATTCTAGACATTTTACTCTGGTTTTCTTGACTAAGGTCCGTCGTTAAGGAATGTTTACAGCCCTTGGCCCTCAGAAAGCGCTTTTGGTATCCAAGCCTTTGATTTAATAATTATCCATTTAGAAAATTATAGTTTGAAATATTTAAACTTAAAGTTGCTTAGCCTACGGTGATTTATCTACAAAGAGAACATTCTTTACAATTAACAGTTATGTCAAAGTTGGATTAAAAACTTGGTTTTTAAAGTTAAGAAGGGGATGCTACATAGATTCATATTGAAAGTCCTTGAAACATTGCAACAACCTGATTGTGAATGAAGGAAGAAACGCAGGATTGGCTGTCCGCCGGATTCTGCTAATCTTGCAATGCGTAATACTATCAAAAATAGTAAGGAACAAAGAAATACGACGACAAGAATCCAATGTTATTAAATTTAATGAATACCAAAAACCTGATTCTTACAGACAATGGAGGATGTGCAAGGTCACGGGACTTTTTAATCCTGTCTGGCCTTTGTGGTTTATTGACACATACCTAGATCACATGCCTAGCTCCTTCTGATGACATGCAGTAAATTTGTGGACCCATCACTAGCTATATTGTTTAAAGGGGGGGGGGGTGGGGTTTTCAAGTCCCATTTGCAGACAAAGTAGATGAGCCTCCCTTATTTGCCAATAAGTTTGAAACATTTTATGACTAAGCACCATGATGAGCAAAAGCCAGGGTATCTTTTAGCATAACATTTATTTCATTAAAAAACTAGACTTATTTTTTGGCACATTTTGCTCCGGTTTGAATTTCAAGGACAGCTTAAAGAAAAGGATGACTTACATTATTTTATATGCAGGTCCTGCCAAGCTTTCCTGCTACCTTAAAGCTGGGGGTATTAATGTGATGATAATACCATGCTGGAAGGAACCATTGTTGGTTGACCTTCCAATGTCACATAATTTTTCAAGGATTTTTCAATGGTTGGGGCATTTTTCAAAAAGGCCCATGCTCACCAACAGATATTGTATGGGGTTCATAGACCCTGCTTACGCTAAAAGTTCTGGCTTGTTGCAAGGGCTGCTAGATGGGTCCTTGTACACTTGAAGTAGTGGAGTTATTTCACCAAAACAGCATGATAATAGAAAGAAGAAAATTGTGTTTCTATTTGCCAGCACAATTGAATTCTGTTTGTTCTTAAAAGGGCCCTACAGTGGTTTAGACATTTGAGGTGAAATAACCTTTTTACTCATCAGTGATGGAGGAATTGTAGGGCCAGACGGGCAATTCTCCCACCACTGAATATGTTAAAAATGCCCTGTCTAATGTATACTTTTAGGTTTAGTACATAATCAGGTTTATATCAAATGTTGTGCCTTTTCAAACGAAGTATCTTTGCATGGTTTTGTGGTTGCAGCAAGACAGCTTACAATCAATTAAATTTGGTACAAACTAGTAAAGAAATTCTACACTAGGCTCTTGAATATATCCTCAAGCAGTTGGCCCATGACTCCCCACTAGAAAGTGTCTTTTATGTTGAAAATTGTTTTAAAAACCAATTTGACTTGTCTCTTACTACTAGTTATTGTGCCCTTATTGTTTTATGTATATATGTTTCAAATTATGCAAAACCTCTTTGTTCTTGTTGTAGTCAATCAATCTCTGTTTGATTTTCTTGCACAACAATGAAGCAAGGTAATGGAATTTGTAGGAAAATCCTAGACTTTCTCCACAAGGCTCTCTTCCCCTACTGTCTCACTTTACAGGACATTTTTAAGACTTAGATTTGGAGGATATTAAATCATTGTATCCAAGGTCTTTTCTTAGAACTCTAAAGGCAAAAATCTTGATTTTGGGTACAACATATTAACATTTTTTTATCAGGCTTATAGGTAACTTTTTGCTGCTTTGGTGTAAGGACTGATTTGCAAGTCCTTCGAGTGTCTTGCACATATTATGCATATATTTGGTTTTTTGTTGTCAATTGCGTCACATTAAAAAAATGCCCTTTTTGTGTCGATTCGCCATCAGTGAAAATTTTTTAAAAATGACTCTCTGCCAAAAGGTACAAACAATTCTAGGGAAACACCCTTTTTGAGCAACACCTATTTCAACTTAGGGCAGTGGTGGAAACCTGGGGGCAAGGAGGAGCTGTCACCCTTCCCTCCAAATAATTCAGAGGAAAATGCAGGCCTGGCCGTTAGAATTTTAACAGGGGAGCAGTAAACAGCTCTGTCTAGGTGAGCTATAAGAATAGAAACAAAGAAAAAAATGATTTCAAGGAGAGCACATTTTTTTGAACAATTTAGGAGAGCAATCTCTAGCTCCCCTCCAGCAATTGAGGAGAGCCTGGAGGGGAGCAAGAGCAATGGCTCTCCTCAAATGGCCAGGCCTGAAAATGGTCTTTTGTTCTATGAAGAAATGTGACATCAAATCATCTATGTGCCCTTGTCCAAGAGGGACACATTTTTAACCGTTTTAGAGAGAAAAAATATTTTCTTTTGCATTTAATAGTTCATAGAAAAAAAGTTCATAGAACTTTCAAGTAAGCAGGTTTCTCCTTGCTTTTTCATTGCTTGTTTTGGCCTGCTTTGGAAAAACTTATTGTAGATCACAGCTTTAGTTATCAAGTGTCTATTTCGGTACTTTGCTCAGACTGAGGGGCTTTTTCATGAGAATCCTTGAGGCAGTGTTTTTACTTGCATTATTACATGCACTGTCATGGTTGTTAGAAACTTTTCCTCTATCATGGATGAGATAAATAGAAAGACAAAAGGACAAAACAAGACCTTTCATTTTTATTTAGCTTGTATATATATATGTTTTTATCTCTTTTGGCCTGTTTTATTAATTTTTTTACAGATAGAAAGCGAAAAAATTAAAACTTTTTCGAAAATATTTGAACAATTTTTAGATTTTTTGGCAGGCCCTAATTATATTTGATTCCTTTGAAATACGGCACGCATGGTTCGCAATTTTATTGCATAGGTAGATTTCACTGGTTCTTCTATGCGCGAGGCCGTGGGGCAAATTCACTCTTTGGAAATCTTGTAAAATTTTTGTTAAAATCATATTCATTTGTTTTATGTGAAAATCCCTAGAAATAATTTTTCCTTGGTGAAAATTTGCAACTATGGCATCCAGTAGTTTGCAGACAGAATTTATGTATGAGATCATATAATGATTTGAAAACATATTGTCATATTATCAGATGCATATTATTTAATGTATCTAATCAGTTGTGCTTTTTTTCTTATAAGGCTGATATTTGTCACGCATATCAAATATTGCACAAGCATGGAGTTCCCGATGAAAACATAGTTGTCATGATGTATGATGACTTGGCTGAAAATTATGAGTAAGTTTCTTTTTTTCTTTACGAAGCAACATCAGTTTATTGTAAAATTGAATAAAGAAACTAGAACTAATACCTTTAAAACACAATTTAGGATAACTGAAGAAGTATTGATAGGAGAAGTGTTATTCTGTTCTTGTCTTTATCAATGTGGTTAAGGTTACTCTCGATTATATGCAAAAACCATTATTCTAATGACTTTTTGTACTTTATCTCAAGATATCACATTCTAAGAAAAGTGGAAGAATAATATCATTCTGATTTTACCACTTCATACCAGAAAAAATAATGTCCAGAGGCTGTTAGTTTTGACCTCTTGGGAAATATTTGAGGAAATCCTATTAAAAAACCTTCCAAAAGTTCTCTGATACTGAGAACTCATTTGATGTTATTTGTCAAGTTCAACATTTTTTTCCAAAATTGCACTTCTTGCCCCTTGCATTTTCTATTCTGATTTGCAGAAGAGTTTCTAATTTGCTTAAAGTTTCTACTTCTCGAAAAAATCAGTTAAAGCTACTTGAAGTCTTTTCTTCCAATATTTCTTTTTCTTGCTTTCTTTCCTCTTCGATTCAAAAAATACATTGCTGAGGGGAATTATAAAATTAATGGTTTGCTTCTGTATATATAATGAACTTTGTTAAATGTGAATGCTTTCTTTAGGAACCCCACAAAAGGAATCATCATCAACCAGGTAAAGACACTTTATTCCATAATTATATTCCAAACAGAAATGATTTTCTTTATTTACACCAAATCTTAGAACATAACTGTATGCTATGTTTTAAATCAAATATATATTTGACTTTATTGATGCATGTCTTAACTGCATCTTTAATTAACTTGGGTCAATTTTTTCTTAGCCAAATGGACCTGATGTTTACAAGGGAGTACCAAAAGATTACACTGGCCATGTAAGACTAATCTCACTGAAAATTCAGTATTTATGCTTGCTGTTATGACAAATTATTTACCTTGGTGTAATTTTGCTTGAAAGGGAAAATTTATTATGTAAATCTAAGAAATGTGAACATCACATAAAAGTCTTTAGAGGGTCATTCCATGTCAAATCACCAAGAAAAAAATGGAAATGTCACCCACCATCTCAGATTTTGCCAATTTTCATATATCATGTGCCAACTGATAAGAATAGTTCATTCTCAAAATTTCAGACCATTATCTTTAGTACTTTTTGAGATATCCAGATTTGAATTTTCAAGAATTTTGAGGTAAAATTACCAGAATCCGCCATCTTGGATTTTCATACAGAGGACAACTAAAAACCCAATTCTAATATCTGAAAAGAAAATGACCAGAACACATCAAAATGAACTTATTTATGTAAATTCAGCTATGAGGAATTCAAAAATGACATCAAAATGAATATCTGACAGATCTGAAAGATTCTATTTATAGAAATCTCTGCAGGGGTTGAAAAATTGAAAGATTCCGAAAAGACAATTGTGTCAAATTTCATTTTGGAATTTCATGATGTTTGACAGGTAGCACCAGAATGAATTTTTGCAGTTAAATTTGAGGTACATTGAAGTACCAAAATATTGAATTCTGACTTGGTGTCTCTTCTTGTTCAAAAGCTACAAGCAGCTAAAGTAAACTGAAAATATTGTCAAATTTCTTGTGCGAAAGTTCATTTTTTAATGTAATGTGTATGTTTGTAGACATATAACTAGCAATATTTGAAGTTTAATCAACTCATTCTGTGTACACAATAAGCAAAGCATTCATTTAAATTGAAGATTTGTTATCTATCACTTTTTTACAGTGGATAATGTACAGTGGACCACACCCACTAATGGGTGCGGCAACATTGAGCACCATGGGAAGGCTGTATTACTTAAGAAATTTTCAGACTTCACTCGAAAAGGTTGCAAATAAACACTTTTTCCTTGAAGATACAAGAAATCAAAAGGACAAAATCTTTTTGATAGTGCTGAAGGTAAAAAATTTGTAGAAACAGGTATAAAATTACAATCTAATTTAATTTTATCTTGAATACATGAATATACCAAAATTGGCTCATTTTTGTAAGAAAAAAATAATGCCTTACAGGCTCGTCATAATTTCCTTGATTTTCGTGAGATCTTTGTCTGCAATTTTATATTGTCACCCAGTTGCTGTGAAGGGCGTTTCTATGTAACTAGAAATGGTAGAATATGTCAATTCGAAATAAACAAAATGTTAGCAGATATGTTAGCCTAATTTTCTATTGCTTATCAGTTTTGTTGTGTTGCAGAAAATTGGCTATCTCCACCTACAAATCTTTTTATAAAAATGGCGGCAATATTCGTATTTTGTCCTTCATTAAACTGATTATTTCGTCAAAATCCTTTGCCTTTCTTTCAGTCTCACAATAATCGCTTTCAGCTTCTTCACTGTCCATCAGTTGATCGGGCATGAAGTCGATAGTTTCTGCAACAACGTTTAAGATTTTTGATTGCTTTTTGGTCAGTTTGGCTTTTACTTCGTCGAGTTTGTGTTTGCTATAAGAAGCTCTTGAATGCTGCGGAACAGAATGCAGCTTTATCGGACTAACGTCAATATCTTCAAGTGTTAAGTCAAGGTTTTCTTTCTGTTGTTTCCAAGCTCTTTCTGTTATTTGCAACCTTTTCGAGTGAAGTCTGAAAATTTCTTAAGTAATACAGCCTTCCCATGGTGTTCAATGTTGCCGCACCCATTAGTGGGTGTGGTCCACTGTACATTATCCACTGTAAAAAAGTGATAGATAACAAATCTTCAATTTAAATGAATGCTTTGCTTATTGTGTACACAGAATGAGTTGATTAAACTTCAAATATTGCTAGTTATATGTCTACAAACATACACATTACATTAAAAAATGAACTTTCGCACAAGAAATTTGACAATATTTTCAGTTTACTTTAGCTGCTTGTAGCTCTTGAACAAGAAGAGACACCAAGTCAGAATTCAATATTTTGGTACTTCAATGTACTTCAAATTCAACTGCAAAAATTCATTCTGGTGCTACCTGTCAAACATCATGAAATTCCAAAATGAAATTTGACACAATTGTCTTTTCGGAATCTTTCAATTTTTCAACCCCTGCAGAGATTTCTATAAATAGAATCTTTCAGATCTGTCAGATATTCATTTTGATGTCATTTTTGAATTCCTCATAGCTGAATTTACATAAATAAGTTCATTTTGATGTGTTCTGGTCATTTTCTTTTCAGATATTAGAATTGGGTTTTTAGTTGTCCTCTGTATGAAAATCCAAGATGGCGGATTCTGGTAATTTTACCTCAAAATTCTTGAAAATTCAAATCTGGATATCTCAAAAAGTACTAAAGATAATGGTCTGAAATTTTGAGAATGAACTATTCTTATCAGTTGGCACATGATATATGAAAATTGGCAAAATCTTAGATGGTGGGTGACATGGCCTCGGTGAATTGACATGGAATGACCCTAGATATTTAATTTTCAGAGACAACTAGCAATGCAGATATCAATAAATAATTTTAGCTACAGACTAAGTCTTTCTGCTTGATTGCGAGATTGACTTTCCCTTCGGTTTTCAAAGATGTACTACAAATTTAGAACTTCAAGCCTCAAAATTGTTTTTACCAGAATAGGAAGTGTATATTTGTTTTCTATTTAGGATGTTACTCCAGCAAACTTCCTCAATATCCTTAAAGGAAATAAAGAAGCCATGAGTGGTATTGGAAGTGGAAAAGTTATTGAAAGGTAATATACCTTGAATGCAAAGGGCTGGCAATGGCTCCTTTTTTGGTTTCCTTCATAATGTTTGGTGAAGCTCGCTAAATTTCAGCTGTTTTATATATATTTTTTATGCAGGGATGTAACTGTTACTGCACTTAGTCTATTACAGGAATGCCTACTTTTAATCTAAGATTCAAAAGTTATGAATATAAATCATATAATTTAATATGTGTTGAAATTCTTTTGAAGTGTATACAAAAATTATGAACTCTAACAAATGTGAACTATAATATTTCTCTCATAGTGGCCCTGACGATTATGTCTTTGTTAATTTTGCTGATCATGGAGCTCCTGGATTGATTGCTTTTCCTAATGGAGAGGTATCTTTAAATTTATGATAATTTTTTATATATTTTATATTTTAATGTATCTAAATGCAAGAAGTTATCACAGGATCTCAAACGTATCTGATATAGTGATGGTTTTTTTAAACTGTGCTATTAATTTCCACTTTTCAATATTTTTCTCTTTGCAGTCACTCATAATATCTTTCATGTTTACTCTTTCATGCAAGAGAGCAAAATCTTATCAGTAAAAGGAAGTCATTACAACCTACACAAATAAAATAAGATATTTTTAGTGACCTCTTTGGACTTGCAATTATCTGCCCGCACACTTGCTTGTTTTGGCCTATAACACAAATATATGTGCACATTCTTTAAACAGGATTTTGTTCCATTTATTGGAAGAGAGCTTGCATAATTCCTGTGCAAAGAATGAACCAGACAAAAAAGGGCACCTACTATTCACCTATCTTTCTACCTTCAATGTTTTCTATGGTCATTAAAAACATTATACACTTATATAATTATGTCTTTGCTTTCAAATAAACTTGGTAGGTACTGAATAATACTTGGCAAATAAAGGAAATATTGATTTGCATAAACTGAAAGACAGTGGCCCCTCACCTGATTGGCCAAAAACAAGAAACAAGTCAATTGCCTCAAACTTTGTGTTTTGCCCTATTTCCTCTTTTTAGTGCCGTTTTGTAATGGGAAATGCGCTTTTACATAATTTGAAAACTTGTTTTAAATGTTCTAAACGGTGCTTTACTGCTATTTTCAAAGCTGCAGGGTAATCGGCTTACTAAAACTCTCTCCAGTATTATCTTTAAAAAATATAAAAAAGCCTCCACCAACGTTTTACATGTTAGACATGTTAGACATGTTAGGCTGAAGTTTTGTACCTAACGTTCGAAAATTCCCTTTCTATATATTCCTAGTGCAAAGAGCCAGTCAGTTTGAAAAAACGCTAACTTGTATTTTAAATCACATTATTGTTATAAAACTGTTCAAATTTATACCAGATTCTGTTGATTGGCTGATAAACATTAGCCAATATTTCCCAGTCCCTTTGCATCTTTTCCCCGAAGTTGCTTTTAAGTTTCTTAAAAGAAAATGATTGTGAATGGTTGATGTAGCAAAAGAGACTGCTGTTTCATGCCTCGTCACTGTGAATGTCACTGTTACATGTATGACTTTGTGTCTTTCATATTTTGTAGCCCTGTTACCTATGTACTGAGAACCGAATGTCATTTGTCTCATTCAAATTACCTCTTCAATTTACAGTTGCACGCTGGTAAGCTTCATGACGCAATTTTATACATGAACGAAACTAAGAAATACAAGCAGGTATAACCTTATTCTACTTTGCTTTATATATTTATTTATATCATTGAGTTGTATCTTCTTTAGTTAGTAATTGAGTTGTGTGTTCTTGTCCATGGCTATGGCAAATTTGATAGATTTCGAATACTCAGCTGCTTTTAGCTCTATCATCTTATTGATAGAAGATTTTAAGATAGCGTCAATAATTCTAATTATCACAGTCAGTCGCCCAATGAATAAGCGTGAGATATAAAATTCATTGGGTGAGCGACGTTGGGGTGATTTAATGCCACAAGGTAAGGGAGTGCAACTATAAAATCCCAAAGTCTATTAACCAATTAAAAAAGAAAGAAATTTTACCTTATCACTAAGAAAACAAATGCTGTCAAAATATCCGAATTATGAAATGAGAGAAAAATGAAACATAATCTGCATGCTATATTGTTCCTGTTTATAAGGTATATTACCAACCTTGTTTTTGTTATTATCTATTACTGTTATGTTTTTAATTATACTTTTTGTTAGTGGACCAAGCTAGATAAGTAAATACTGTTTCTTGGGTGTTGTATATTATAGTATTGATATTGTATTCATCTTTTGTAATATTCGAATAAAATTGAAGTGAAATATTTACTCGTTGCTTGAAATATTTCTAGCATAATTTAATTCTATTGCTTTGGAATTTGATCTCTCTTTTTAGATGGTGTTTTACATCGAAGCTTGCGAATCTGGCTCCATGTTTGACCAAACCTTGCCACACAATATCAAAGGTTTGAGCGTTTTAGGCGACTACATCTTTAAAGTTATATAGACTGTTTTGACAGAGATACACATAACTGGGTACCTTATTGTTTTGGGTATTTTCAAATAAAGTTCTCTCGCAATTTATAAATTGTTAGATATAACAGAAAGATAATTATTTTTATTTGTTTTGTTGACTTAAAAACTCTTTGATGACCTTTGTTGTTTTGAAGCTTGTTTTCGGTTCGCTTATCAGTTTAGTAGGTTAGTTAATCGATGGACATTTTCATAAAATAATATTTTGATATCATTTTTGAGATGAGATACCACGTCATCACGTCTTAACTATCTTCGACCTTACCTTTCAGTTTTTGCAACAACAGCATCTGATGCTCGCCATTCCTCGTATGCTTGCTACTGGGATAAAAAGAGGCAGACATATCTTGGTGACGTATATAGTGTTCAGTGGATGCAAGATTCTGACAAGGTAAACAGAATAGTCCGGTTTTGACGTATTTTAAGGGAGCGTTAGATTAAGTATTTGATATTCGAAGCACGTTGAGAAAAAATTAACTGAGAATCAAGTTATGAACAAAGCTGAGAATTTGAGCTTTGTATGTTGCAGCTTGTTGCGGCCATGAAAATAAAGCATTTTTAACTACATCGAATGTTGCCTTTCAAAAAATCTCGCTGCCATGACCAAATAAGAGGTGTTCGCAAAATATTTCCTCTGTCTGTCAAAATAATGTTTATTGTAGATTTTCCATGGCAAAACTCTCTCGTAATTTCAACTTGTGTTTTCTTTTTCGATGCATTAATTTTAACAATAGTTCGGTTCCATTCTTAACATAGTGCATTCTGCTTATGATTATCCATCAATTTATAAACACTTTTTTTGGGTAGTTGACGTTAAATTTTGATAAATGAAGAAAACCATTAAAGAAGTGTAAGTTTCGCATGAGTGGTATCTTGCTGCAGTGACACAGTGACATAATTGTCTTTTTAAAACTAGTTGCCGTGCTTCAGAAATTGACATGAATCAGCTATCTTGTCGAAGTCATGGCAAGGCTGGTCACTTAGTAGCAGTACATCAAACCTTACAGGGTTTGCAACGTTGAATAATTTCGCAAGCCCCAAAAATGTTTATGACAGTTCTTAAGATTTTCTTGAAACCCATTTCAGGGTCACTTCTCATCTTACTTTCAGTGCACGTTCTGGAAAAACAAGTCTGAAAAATATTTGCAACCCCCTCCTTCCGCCCCGTTTAGATAAGCGTCAAGTTCAGAATACAAAAAAATATTTTATTTAACAGGAAGATCTCACCGTCGAAACTTTGCAAGAGCAATATGAAATAGTGAGAAAGAAAACCAATACAAGCCACGTCATGGAGTTTGGAGACATGGTATGCCAGTTGTAGATGTGATTTTTGCAGTTAAGAGACTTGAAAAGTCTGTTTGTTAAGGGTTTGACGTTTAATATTTTTATAGAATATTTTGACAAAAAATATCCATTTGGCTAAGCATTGCCTTAAACAAAGATGATCGGGTCTTGTTCGTGTTTCGGTAATTAGAATTGGTCTAAACGCGTTATGTTTGTCAAGGGCCTAGCACATTTGCCTTGTCTAGCTAATCCAGCTTTATTATGCTATGGATAACCTATAGACAAATGGAGCTTTGGTTTCAAATGATAGCAGGTGTATTTGTGATGATATTACCGTTTATTAGTGTATTTGCTTATGTTTTAAGGTGGCAACATGCTTGAAGCAAAAATTTTAGAGTTGTATCAGCTGTCAGAAAGAAGAAAGATCTAACGATGGAAAATGGTGTTACATTAAGATGAAACCCTAATAGACCCTTAGGGGTCGTGTTGTATTTGCACTGATGTAGATGGCTACGTCCAGGCGCCACCCACAATACCCAAGGGGTACCTCACACGCCTCCATGCTTTTCAAAGGCAGACCAAATCACGACTTGCTTTTATTTTGTTTCTAGAGATTTCTTAACTCAGTATCCGAAATTCAACCCCATATTGTTTTGCCATGAACCAAAAAAAAACTTACAGGAGAATATTCTTCTTATTCCCGGTTACAGAGAAACCACTTCAAACTTTAGTGCTAACTTCCGGTGCTGATCTTTCCCGTTCATGTTTTAATATATATTGAAACCAAGCTACTTTATTTTGATGACTCTACCTATTTTCAATTATTGACCTTAAAGGATATTTTGCTGCCTGGAGTTGCCTTGTCCCAAAAACAAATTTGGTTTTTTATAGCCTTACGGCTACGATAATGTAGCGTAACGCTGGATAGCGTACATATACGTATCCTTTCTGCAATACTAGCCATCACCAACCACTGCATGCAGTGATTAGCCAGCCATCACTGCATATATATTTATACTTCTAGGCCGATAATCCCTATCAGTGCATTTACAAATGATGCCTGTAAGATCATTGTACATGTTAAGAGATGTCCCCTGTGATAAATGATAAATGAAGGGACCAAAACACACTCCCTGAGGAAAGTCATTGTCTGTCTTTGATTTTTCCCTTTTATACAGCAAAATTGTTTTCTGTTTTAGAGTCATGATTTGAAATATCTTTGACTTTATGTATTGACAGCTTTCTGGTAGTTGAATAGAATGGTCGACTGTGTCGAAAGCTTTTGAGGCCCTAAAAACGCTCAAATCTAGTTTGCATGCATCAATAATTTGTAACAAAACATCGTTGCATTGAGCATCGAAGTCATTGTGCTGTGTTTTTTTGGTAACGGAATTTTTTTGAGAATATACAATCTGGTGTTCTTGATAATTAACATTTTAGGAGCTTCGAGTTTTTATTTATGTATTTTGAATGTATTTTTCGCAATTGTAGACGATGAAAGATGAAGTGGTTGGTCTTTTCCAAGGAGGAAAGAAGTCAAATGTGTCTGCCGGCGCCCCTCCAAAACCAATAGTTAGTATTGTTCCCATTGGCTGGTTTTTTCAACAACAAAACATGTGAAACTTCAATTTCCTGCCATCGTTATTTATTCTCAACAAATCTGTTCTTCCTCGTATGCTTTCATTTATTACTGACATTAGCAAAGCGGCCCTTTTAGTACAGGAAATTGAGTTTTATGTCTATTGAAGTACATTCTGCGTATGCAGTCTTTGTTTTTCAGTTGTATGTTTTTTAAATCCCCCCATTTGCTTGAACGGAAAATGATTTTCGAATTGTTGACAACTGGTCTCGCCAAACAGTGGAGATTTAAGCCGAAAACCCACTCCGGAAAATGATTCGCGGATCGGAGGAGATTTTGTGTTGCGCACGCGCTTTGGATGCAAAACTTGTCACATGATTGATCCGCAACGGATCGAAACGGATCGAAAAAAAAGTTGAAATCATTTCAGCTTTTTTGTACCGTTCCGGTACAGTAGTTTTTTTTCATCAAAATAGAATTAGAACTTTTTGAACAATAGAGCACTTGTGTCATAAGACAAGGATCCCGTGGAGATAATTGTCAACGTGCATCCCAATCTGAAACGATCCGCGGATCGAACGGAACTGATCAGAACAACACAATCTGATCCGATCCGCGGATCTTTTTCCAGAGTGGGTTTTCGGCTGTAGTCATTTTGTTAGTACGCTTCAATGAACAAATCATGCCTTTTTTATTGCGCATCAAATTGATTGCTTTGTTTCCCATCTCGCAGACTGATGCCGTACCATCTCCAGATGTCCCACTAATGATTCTCTACAAATCATTAGAACTTGCTAAAACAAAGGTAGAATACAGACAAATCCAAGCAAAAATTGCAATGGAAGAAAGTGTAAGCTTTATACGTTTATCGTTATCATTCAGGCAAACTATTATTTCTTTAAGCTCGCTAGGGAACAAACTTGCTCAATTCGTTTCAATCACTACCCAATTCCTTACTGGCTGTTTTTTAGCTTCTGTACCCCAATAATCTTTGCAATGTTAAAACATAGAACAGAACTAACAATGAAAGTGGTTCAAAATTATGCTTCTTGTGAACCTGTTCGATCGATTATAAATTTAAAGCACCGAGTCATGATTAAATGTCTAGGGTATACCCAAAGTACCCAAATCCGCTGAGTCATGATTTTCGTGCTGCAATGTTATTGGTTGACTTGAAGTTGGTCACGTGAACTCACCTTATACTGACGAACAAAACAGTTTCCATCTATAACAAGATGTCAACAACGGACGCCAATATCACATCAAACTGTAGCAATCACGCCGAATCCAAATGACCTCTTATAGAAAAGGTCTATTAACCATGACTAAATGCCTTTAATCGAAACAGCAATGATATTCCTTTTGTGTTATGAAAATTTAAGGAAATTACAGCTTGATACTTTATTGATAGAAGTTAGACTTATTGGTTTAGCGAAGCTAGACTTATTATGGTAATAGTGAACAGATACATTAATTCAATTCATTCCTTGTTCAAAGCAACCTCATCTCTCTATTTAAAGTTTTAAACAATTTAATACTTCTGGTGCGGTAAAACGGTGTACTGTATTCCATAAGTTGTTTTGCTGCTATCAAATAAATCTACTTTTGTACTGGTTAGCGAATGAACAGAGTTCAGAAAATCTGTCAGCCTTCCACCGGCCAAGAAAACCTTGCTTTTAAACCTTCCTCATTTTAATGGTTTGCAAATGGGCGTAATCATGGGATTGGGGATACTCAACTAGTCTTGATCTGCTCTCGTTGCTACACTATTTTTCCAAAGCATTTTAAAGAATTTTTGCTTGTTTTCTGAGAAGTTTTATGTTTTTATCTATTAGAGGCAAAAGCGTGTCATTATTCAAATAGATAAATTTTAAAAAGATATTGCGTAACTTTTACAGCGGTTCTGCAAACACATGAATGTAAAAAGAACAGGAGGTTTTTAAATATTATTTGATTTTTTTGTCTGAAATCCTAACCAAAAAACCAAAAGACAACAAGATTTCTTCAACTTTCTAAAGTTTCCAAATTTTTGGTCACCTTTCTCAACTTCTTTTTATTCCTACGACCTTGACGTCTTCCTGACTCTACGAATAGAATGTTATCGGTTAGCAAGTTACAGTACCACAGAAATCTGTAACTTATGCAGAAATCCACCCATCGCAAAAATTTTATAATAGTGGCCTTGAGAGACCTCGATCTGTTCAGATAATTTTGCTGTGATTTGAGTTAGCTAAATGTTTTTTAATTATTTTTTCCGTTCCTTTCACTAGACTAGGTCATTGATCCGAGTTGCTTCCAAGTCCATTGTTGGTAAACTGATACCAGAAGAGACAAAAAGACTCGAGATTCTGTCATCCCCGGCCAAAATCCTTGATCGCCGCTGCTACGAAGAGGCAGTCAAGTATTACAAAAAGCACTGCTTTGACTTCAGCAAGGTAATTTTAGCTTTTTGACTTTTGAAATTTTCGTATCTGGTTTTGTTATTTAGTGTTTTGATTGTCGTCAAAGGATACTTTGGCCCGATGATAGGGATATCATTTTTTCAATGCTCTTGGATCATTTTGTGTTTTTGTACCTGTTTTCTGTACATGGTTGTGATTTTCAATACGTTATGACGATGTGCATGATTTTTCGCAGTATGAACATGCCCTGCGTCACATCTATGTGCTGTCAAACCTTTGCGACCACGGAGTCCATATCGATCAGTAAGTTTTATTCTAATCATCAGCAAAGATATTTTTATTTTGTATATTTGCTGTCATTTATCTAGATTATGAAGTATCAGTTTGCACCAAAGCGTATATTAAATAGTATATATATAATTGTATATCGGTATAATCGGAATCGAATTACAGTTTGCTGCGTCGAAAACCCCCGCTCATTCCACTGAGCCAAACGGCCCAATGAAATGAGCGAGGAATCTCCGAAGCTATCACTGGAGATCTCACCGTATTTTATATAGAATATATGTATACACTTTGGTGTGTAGAACAGGTTGGCGGTTCTAAGTTGCAACTCAGAGTTTCATGGTTAATGTGAATATCTGGAAACTGTTAAACTGTAGTTGTTATTAGTTGTTCTGTCCCTGGAGGTATCGGGATTTTCCATTTCACGTAGTTTCTAGGGAGCAATTCTGTGTTAAGTATGCATGTAGTGATTTATATATTGTATTTATGTTTATTTGTATACGATTCTCTCTATTAGGATTATTTAAAATATTTTTTGTTTCTGCATCGAAAAAGAAGAACGGATAGTTAATCTTTCTGGTCCAAAGTGAATCTGGTTCGCGATTTTCCTTGTTCGCTTGTGAATATGCAAATTACTTCTATTTGCAAAATGAACATGCAAATTACTTTATCCTATTTCAAATCTATATTTCGTCTTGACTCCATATGTACGCAAATGAAAGCCGCTTTAAATTTACTAAATGTCAATTTCTAGGTTGAAGAAGACAGTGAAACATGTGTGCCAGGTCATGAAAATTCAGTGAGCTACAACTTCTCTTTCTGCTGGTAGAAAGTATTAGATGCTGTTTTTGTTTTCTGTAGAGCCTGATTTGACGCTGGTAATAAACCTGTGATTGACTTATTGATTCAATACTTAGTTAATTCTACTTTACACTCCTCATCAATATATTTCTTGATTCTATTTGATTACATTGCATTTTGATCTTTTGCCAGAAAACCACTTAAAAGAGTCCTTAAGCCATAGAAAACAGTCTTATTATTTCCATTGGTTAACTTCCGAATGCATAAATTTGCCTTCTTTGGAGTCTAATGTAGTCATATATTGGATTTTTTTATACTGATATTGGTTCACTCTTGTCGTAATTCTCGTAAGAATCGAGGATATCGGGGACAAAAGCTTTCTGAATATAATTGGATTTTATTTGACAAGGAAATGTCAACAATTGTCGCTAAATGCGAAAATTCTTGCGATAATTGCGACAAGAATGAACCCGTCGTAAATAGCGTCGGAGATCGCTATTTTTGAAAAGTTTTTTTGTATGCATCAACCGCTCAAAGCTAAAGTCATTAAAATCACGAAGCATTTGTATCTTTTCGTCAATTGACAGTTGATTCTAATTTTGTGGCTGCCTTAGCTTTTTGCTGAGAGTTTTTTTCGATGATAAACATAATAATTAGAAAACATAAATTACGCATTTAGATCTATATTAATTATACATTTTGCAGAGAACTAGTGATATTTTTTAGCTTTCTTCTGATCGAGTTCAGCACCAGAAGATAATCGTCCATTTTATCTCTGATTCCTTTTATTAAGCTGATCTTTACGTAAGGACAGGTTCTTCGTTGATTTTTGGACACAAGTGAACTTTATATGTGCTTTCTGAAAGGAAGAGTATGCCCCGCCATATGGGACAGAAGTTTATTATACAAAATATATGATGTGATTGTAAATATATTGTTTTAATCTAATAAAAATCTGTTGTACAATTTATATCGACGGTCTATTTCAGATATATAAGGTCTGAATTTGTTTGCAAATATATATGGTCTGAATTTGTTTGCAAATATATAAGGTCAAAGCGCAAACGATATGCGCAGTGACATTTCCCGCCAAATCCGACGCGATTTACACATTGCACGTTGCACAAAATGGCTGCGAATGCTTCAAATACTAGCATGAGACGGCCTAGTTCTGTGCCCGCATCACCATACACTCGCCCATCTTCTCGGGGAAGTCGTCGCTCAAGCTTCCATCAGAATAACGACGGTGGGTATAAATTCCGTGTGAAAGAAGTCATTTTGCACTTTGTTGGCCGACTAAAAGGCAGACCAAGTTGTGCAAGCAAACCAGATCCGATTTTTGAGAGTAGGGTCACAAGCTGAAAATTAGCAACTTCATAAGTTGGAAGCACAAAAAGTTATGTTTTGGCGGGAAATGTCACTGCGCATATCGTCCACGCTTAGACCTTATATATTTGCAAACGAATTCATACCTTATATATTTGCAAAAAAATTTATACCTTATATATTTGCAAACAAATTCAGACCTTATATATTTGCAAACAAATTCAGACCTTATATATCTGAAATTTCCGACAAGAATTTATAGATGTCAAGTGGACACGCTTTAAGTTTGGAGAAATAACTTCGATATGAATTGTACAACCGATTTATATTAGATTTAAACAATATAATTACAATCACATCATATATTTTTTATAATAGACTTTTGTCCTATATGGCGGGGCATAGAAGAGGTTGTGTTGGACTTCTGTATGTTTTAGCTTATCAACGAATAAGCCACACAGTTACCAGTGATTGTTAATCAGTGCCGTCAGAACGAAATTCATTATGGTAGGGGGGGTTGGCTGCCCATCGTTTTCCTTCTCATTCATGTTATAAAGGAAACATACTACAGTTGACAATTATTGGGGGGGCTCCAGCCCCCCGGTTCCGACGGGCCTGTTAATTAATCTCTTACTATAAATCGAGAAACATAAATACTTTGACGATATTTGATCTCCCATCCCATATACTAGATACAGTTAAGTCATCAGTTGAGTGTTAACTATTGTAAGGTCTTAAACTTGGACAGTCCTGTAGACAGATTTTTTTTGGCTCAGGACATATCATTTACAAGGAAAGAATAACGGCATTACCATATTGTTCATAGTGAATTCGTTTCAGGCCCCCTGAAAATGAAACATGCCGAGTTTTCCGTAATGACGTATTAAATTGAAAATATTATGTGGGTGATGAAGGATTGGCTTACTTCGAACAAAACGAAATGCTTTCCTGTCCTTTTGGGGCCTTTGCCTGCCCGTCGCCCTGGAGCACATCATTCTTACCCAGCATGGTCAAATTAAATTTTGCGGTAAACCTGCTTTTACACATAAAGGCTAGTGTATTGATACTGTGTCGTTATCAAAACATTTGCTATCTTCATTCTCATACGGAAGCGAATGAAGTTTCCATCACGGCTTTGAAAACTAGGAACAGGGACGCTTAACACCTAAAGAGTCACGTGATTATTTGTATTCAGCCAATGCGAAACGCTTCTTGCTCTCTTGCGTTTAGAGCAATTTCTCAAAAATCTTTGGCTCTTATTATGCTGATTACAAGTAAAAGTAAACCAAAGTTGCTATTAATGAAGAACTTTTTGCTACCATTCATTCACATGGGCTCCGACAAAGGTTGAAAAGTGAGGGGGGGGGCAAGGGAAAATTCAACACCCATAACAAAAGATTTTGAAAAAAACTATTGTTTTGCAAAAACGTGGGGGGGGGCCAAAGTTCCCCCCTTCGTCGGAGGCGCTGATTCACCTCTGCGTTTTGTAAGCAGAAAAACTGACTACCTCTAGGCTACTTTTGTCTTCAGAAAGTCAAAATGACATGTCACCAAATCTTCAGAGAAATCTCATAAACTCTAGGCATAAAGAAACAGCGTCACATGTAATCTAAATCCGAATCGGCTTAGAAAGATGTTATCCAATGCTGTCAATCATTTGACGTATTGAGTCGTTATGCCGCGCGCTATGATGCCCAGGTACTTGCTGTTTACTTAGCGAAAATTTTCATTGCCAAAATTCATTCCACGCTGTGCTTGTTTCAATGCAGAAGACCAAAAATAGAATAAAGTGCTAATTATTAATGGATAGATTGAGCATATCCATAGAAACCGTGTTTGTTTTAATAATTTAAAAGATTGAAATATCGAAATCTTCTTGCAAACAAACCAAATTCACATATGTATGGAAGAACTGCTTTGTAGACTCTCAGTTGGCATAGAAGAGAAAACAATGATCATGCCAAGTTTAGATTGCAGAGATCTTCTTTGGGGGTGACACCAGCATGGACACTTCCTGATGAGAATCTTTTTTTATCCTCTCGGACAAAACAGCAGCGATGGATGCTACAAAAAGGGAAATATAATCTCCAAAACAGACAATACGGTTAAGTCTTAATTGGATTCACAGATTTCGTTGTGCATCTGCCGTTGCACCTAGAAAATTACATGAAAATACTGCTAGGAAATAATGGGACAGCAAGCAATACCAACAACTTTTATATTCTTCCTTCCATAGACACCTTGCCATTCTCTAATTGATTTATATCTTTTACCACCTGTGGGAGAATTTGAAATTTTTTATCAGATTCTCTCTAATATTCTTCTATTTTCAAGTATCTAGCAAAATGTGTTAAAATTACTTTGACCTGAAAAATGTTCTATTATTACAAAAAAAGGTACTTGACCGCAGAACAATGTTTTTAAGATTATCGCAAAACGACTGGGAATAATTGAAGATTTGCTATGAACTTACAATTAAGTAATAAATACTTGTTTATTTTCCCAACTTTGCAAAATATTATATTTCAAAGTTGATATATTTTCATGCTTTAGGATGAAGACAAATCAGCTAAACTAGAAAATGAAATGAATATCATAAACCTATGGTTTATAGACAATGCTATGCAGCTGAATGAAGACAAAATGTAGCATGTATGTAAACAGGCAAATAGAAAATGAGGACAACAAAGTGGAATTGCTGGGCGTAAAAATAAACAACCAATTAAAATTTGATGATCATATCAAAAGTATGTGTAAAGAAGCAGAAAAAGAGGTGAATGCACTTGCAAGAATGGCGCCTTATTTAAACGAAGATAAAAGAAAGCTTTTGATGAAAACATTTGTTTTGACATTCTTCAATTACTGTTCCTTGGTATGGATGTATTGTAGAAAGGAAAAAACAATAAATTTATTAATAACATTCACGAAAGAGCACTGCGAATAGCCTATAACGATTTTTCATCTAGTTTTAAACGAGTACTGCTCAAAGACAACACGGTTACCATCCATACAAGGAATTCAATGCAACTTGCAACAGAATTTTACAAAACTATTCATCACTAGAACCCAAGTTTCATGGAAGATATTTTTAGCATAACTGAGTCACTTTATAACGTCAGGGGGCTCGCTTTTCCTAGAAATAAACCAAACATTATAGCATACGGATTAGACACTGTATCCCACAGATGTCAAGAAGTATGGAACTCAATTCCTACAGAAATAACCTCAAGCTCAAATATAAACACCTTTGAAGCAAGTATCAAAACGGTGTCATCGATTTCTTGCCCATGCCGCATTTGTAAACCATTCACAGAACAAGAGGGCTATATAAAATGACAGAGAACCTACTGTACATTGATATATTTTATATCAGTACAGTGGAATCCCGATATAATGACCCCCGGGTATAAGGACGAACCCCGGATATAACGAACTCTCGTTATTACGAACCAATCTTTAGGTCTCTTCGTCATTATTACCCTCGAAAAACGAACTTTTCATAAATTTGTCATCTGTTATTTTCATTCCTCTATTTTCGGTGTTCATTTATCACTTAATCTGGTGGGAAATCATTTTTATAATCGGCCAAACATTCTGATGATACATTCAAGCCCTGGCTGATAGACTCGGAGAACGAGGTGAAAGTTTGATTGCGTCAGAAATTACTGCGAATGAGTACATTGACAATAACGAATACCTCTTTACATATGAGACATTGGCAATGAGCGACGACAAACTTCTATTGAGAGACACAGATAGAGAAGCAGAAGAAGACAAAAAAGAATGTGAAGTAATCGAAGCTTTTATTCAGCCGCCAACTAGAAGTGAAGTGATACCAGCTTTGCCAATATCTTGGTTCCAAATAATAAAAGGAACATATAGATTTTCATTTTAAATCACTAACCATTAGTAACATTTGAATTCAGTTTGGTTTTTTGGAGTAATAAGTGCACAGAAGTTAGAGATTTTAGGCTTGAACTAGGAAAAGACCTAAAAAACGTTTCCTCCCGGGCTAGTGAACTCCCGATATAACGAGCTATTTTCTGGTTCTCTTCAGAATTCGTGATATCGGGATTCCACTGTAATTCATTTATTACTGTTACTGTTGTTAAATTCGGTTTTTGTTGATATATTTAGTTGGTTTCAATTAGCTTAAATATAGCTAGAAGTGTACGCTTACCAACTTAAAATAAAGTAAAGAAAAAATAAAGATAAAAAATAAAAATAAAGAAAAAATTAAGAAAAAAAGAGTGTAAAGCGTCTCAGGGTTACTCATTACAAAGAATCATCATGTTCCCTTGCTGTTGTTGCTTTATGTGATCTTTATCTGATGTAATTCGTTCTCCCTTTTCCTTCCTTCTTCTCTGTCGTGATTTGGAAACGATTTTCCAGACGCTGTGGAGGACAACAGCAGTCAATCCTGGAACTCGGAAATGAACGTTTTGTGCCTCGGAAGTGAATGAATAAAGTTTTTGTCTGGAACACGGATGGAACTCAGTCAAAACAGCATCTAGAACTCGGAAATGATACCATATTTGCAAGAGATTTGTACAACAGCCAGTAAATGATTGGCTACCTATTGTTTCTGTTCTGTTGTGGAACTGTAAAACATTGAATTCGAAATGGCGGCTTCAGATCTCCATTTTCGCGACCCTCGCAGCATTCTAACAGATTACTAAGCGTTTGAGATAAACCAGGAAAATTGTTAATTTTCCAGAATCAAATTTCGATCAAAACAAAAGGGAAAAACTTTGCTGTGACATCCAAGAGAAACAAAAGGGTACTGAGAAAGGGAGAGTGTTGTAAAATTTTCACAGAGGCACTGCTTTTTGTCGGAAAGAAATCTAGAATCTAGAGTTAGTGAGTGGATAGTACCTACCCCTCCCCCCCAATGGTACCAAAATGCATAAATATGAATAATAATGTTGTCTTGCACAATTATCAATGCAGTATCTAAAAGTCCCTACCCTTTGCCTGGAACTCAGTCAGGTTTTTTGCTGGATCCGCCCCTGGCAGGAATTATGTTTTGGACAACTTCGATGAAAGTAACTTTTCTCTCATCTTTTGCCAGACTTGATCTGCTCGTTAATTTACAGTAAATTTTTTGCTGCACACATATCCGCATAAAAATACTGCCCTACAATTAGAGCTAAAATCAATACAGGGTCATTAAGAAGTTGAATAAAGCGATAGAATATGGAATATTACCATCTCCATACATTCAAACGATTCGAATATAAATATTGAAGTTGAAGCGAACTAGGCCTAGCTAGGAGGTAATATCTGAAAGAGTTTCTACCGCTAAGAACCACGTGGAAAGACATGACTTTGGAACAGCTGTTGCTCGCATCCCTGGACCACTTGAACGGACATTTGCAATCCGTTCCTTTGCTCATGTCAGCCACAACATCATCTTATCATACTTTTCCTCTTTGTTTGTAGTGCAGTTTTAACTGCTGCAATGTTTTTAAACATTCCTTTTTATCTTGGCCCAATCCTATTAACACTGGTTATTATCAATTGCATTGAAAATGCCTCGAATAATTTCCGATTCCCCGACTGTCATCTTATGATAGGGTTTTTTCAGCCCCCCTAGGCCCTTCAAATATGATAATCAGTCTCGACTGATTACATGTAGATAACGCAACACTATAAAAACCGAGTTCACCCCTTCTCATCCAGTTAAAACTTTACAATCTATATTGAAATGAATAATAGATTAATGATCAGAAGGTTCAGTTCTATAAAATTAGCTGATAAAAGGTGATTGCAGGCTTTTGTTTGATCAAACCTACAAGTAATGTTGTCATTAATGTAAGACATGAAAACTAGATTTTCTAATTGACCTGTAACATATTATTAGCGTTCAGTGGCGTACCCAAGGGGGGGGGGGAATAGAGGGGTCCGGATCCCCCCTAGTTTTCTAAAATATGATCCTCGAGATTTGTCCAAAAATGATGTAAAACTCATTGGGGGAGGGGGGGGGTGCAGTATACTGTATGCTTGTATCAATAACAATTGTAAAATACTTGCTATTTACCGTAGCTAACACTAATCAAATAATGGGGAGAAATTTTGCAAAAAGGGCGTTTTCCCGCATTTGCGAGTGTCTGAAGGGCGTGGTCAAAAAAATTCTGGCCCCTCCCTCCCACCTCCGCTGCTGCAGCCCTGGGAACGCCACTGTTAGCGTTATATAGATCAGAGGAACATTTCCTATCAATCGTTTCTGTAAACAAAGCGATGACTTGCCCTGTTTCTATTACTCTTGAAAAACACGCACCAGTGTGGTTATATCTTACATTGTGACACTTGCCAGAAAGAGAGGCTCTCTAAAAATATTCCTTAACTCTAATTCCTTTGTGGAAGTAGTTTATTCAATATTACAGCTCAAGAAGTTACAGTTAACCAGAATACTGCCTCTTCGGTGTAACAAGCAATTGAAAGTAAGTGTGTTAATTGAATATTATAAAAGTGCGGCAATTTTGCTGAGCCTGACGTCACCAAAAATGAGCTCTACATGTGTTTCCCATAAGTTCATTTCAATACCCTGCATCAAGGCGCAACTTAAGCCCTTAGAAATTAAGCAAACATTTGTAAAATGGATTTTTTAATACTGTTATCTCTTGCTGTTACGTGGACGTTCAATATTGCTCAAAAACAAAATTTAGGCAGAAAAAGCTGCACCCCGAGCTTTACTGTTTTACAGAGCGGCTTTTGGATGTCTTTTTAATTTGATTCATACAAAGCTTCCAGTTCAACAAGGTGAATTTCAATGAAATCAGTTCGGCTGACTTTATAGCTTATCATTTTTCGGTTCCATTGTTAATTTTTAAACCAATCTTATCCTTATCCTAGGAATGCTAAACTATTGCTTTACTTGCTGAAATATAATTTTTATCTTCAATAGCCATTTTAATAAACAATTCGACATATATCCAGAAAAGCTCCGTTTACGTATGACGGCTTTTGTTCTTTGTTTACCAGAAGTGGACTTTCAAAGTTGGCGAGTTCTTAACAAAACTGAAAAACCCATCTTCACGAAAATCCCTTTTACAAAATCAGATGCGATTTCAAATCCTTTAAGAGCCTTTTTTCTTTATTCTACTTAAAAACCTTATCCAATTTTCACCTGGCCACGAGTTATTTATATAATGAAATATCCAAGTTTGCTAATAGCACTGCCGGGGAGCTTTTGATAATTGTTGTTTGTGCATCGCAAATTTTGAAATCCTTTTCAAAATTGGATATTTTGTCCAATACAAGAATATCTGTTGTTACAGATAATCTAAATCTGAGTCAATGATCTAGCAGTATCGGTCATTTTCGGACTGAGGAAAATGGTTTTAGGTTTAAAAGACGTTTGTGCAATGCACAAACAACCTATATCCACTTATTCCAATCATTCTTTCATTTGACTTATAAAGACCTTTGTGAAATTGAATTTGGCTTTGTTAATCTGTTTTAATTTCCAACCTTTTGAGGAAACCTAAATGGTCCGATAATGACTGATACTGCTAGATCATTGACAAGTAAATACGTTTTATCAAAACCAATGTATGTATATATGTATATGACATATTTAATGTTAGTCGTGACAATAGTAGAGAAACACTGATTAAGGCTAAGATGAAGCAATTTCAAGGATAACATCAGGCAGTCATTTACTGAAGAATGCATTCAATTCAATCACAGAACGCATTCAATTCAATCACAGAATGCATTCAATTCAATTCTAAGTTATTTTCAATCTTTAGCTCAAAGTTGTGATGGAATTATTTTCAGAGGACGCAGTAGTAAAATGTCTATCAAACATACGTGTACTTTTACAACAGAACGTTCCAGTGTTTGCAAAATGTCTGAGGGCCACGTGCAAAATAAATAAAGTTCAGCCATTTATGTTTCAACTGCCACCTGCCCAGGAGAAATTGAATAATCGTGCTATGTAATCAAGTTAGGAACAAATTTCCGAAGAACCCTTGTAAGACTCGTAAAATGGTCTCATCGCGACTTGGCAACCCCGATTATCGAGGAATTGAGCTTAGAAGGTTAATATCTTTTAAACTAATTTTTTTTTATCTTTTTACGGCTAGCGCATCCTAAACCCTTGGAAAATCATTTTCTGAGTTAAGGCTGATAATACTAGAAGTCTAAAAACTGAACAACTTTAAGTAATTGTTATTTTATTTTAAAAATTACATTCCCGTTTTTTTGACTTGTGCAACAACCTAATGTATTGCAGTTAAAGAAAGCTTCTTTCAAGAAGAACAATTTAGAATGGATAGAGATCATCAATTTATGCAATGGTTTGCTTTCAGATAAACAATATTTGTGACTTTAGAGTTTAAAGATTAATACGTATTTTCAATTTTAGCAAATCTTGCATTTAAATTTTATACCAGCACGCAAAATAATTGACAATGATGACAACGCAAAACAAACAAACAATTCTAACATGGTCGCTGCTTGTTTGTTTACAACCTGCGTCCAAACTTATCGAAAGCAAATATTTATAAAACATAAATCATTTTTTTCTTAAAGACTTGAGTCACAGTGATTGCAGAGCTTGAAAACAAAAACATTCAAGTCAAGTTTTTTGCAATGATTTTAGCAACTATTGAAAAATACTGAATGTTCAATATATTTTTTACATATGAAAAAAACAGTATTTTACATTCTAATTTCTAGCAAGGCAATAAACTATTCATACAATGTACATATTTTCATACATATGTTACTAAAGCAAATGAATTCTAATAACAATTCATATTGCTTCTATCTTTGCTACTTTCTTCTCTGTGAATATCACCGAGACTTGAAATTACCACCTTATCGATATAATGAAGTTAAGATCAAGCGTTAAGTATTTTAGCAAAATTAGACAAATGTGAAGACCCAAATGAACACGAGCTGTTGAAAGTTGGTCTTAACGAGCTCTAGTGTAGCTATCCATTGTACAAGCTTGAAAGAAAAGGAAAGAGAATGCTACAAGTGTAAGTTTTTCAGCCATTCTCATTGCTCATGCTCTATTGACCCACTAAATTCCCATATGCTGTTCATTTCAATGGCAAAATTTGATAAAAAATTTACAGGCTATTACGTTAAATAATTATTTTACCTTTTAGCTGAAAAAGAAGACTGGACCTCGTTTACTGAAGACTAGATGTAAATGGGCTCGGGTGTCTTTTAGATTTGATTTCATTTTTACGGCCAGTTTGATTTCAAATGGATACGGGTAGCTCATAAAAGTTGATTGAGATCAGCTGGGTCATGTCTAAATTCTAGACCAATTTGTACCAGTTCGGGAGCGGATCTATCTAGATCTACATCCCATGCGAATGGGGATATCAATGTTGGTTAAGATAATATGCCTAGGCATGAAGCAAATAAACTAATTCAAAAAGTTTCCAGGTTGTTTGGGTCCGTCCACTCAAAAGCGTAGCAAAGCTTTAGCTCGAGGCAAAAGTTGCCTGTTTAACTGGATCACAATAGAAATCATGAAGAGTGCATAAAATGTTTGCATTTAAAACTTTTTTCAAAGTTTTATCAAGCCTTGGGAGTTTAAAGCATAAAAATCTTTCGATGCTTAATGACAGCTTTTCCGGCTTTTTAAACAAAGCGGTTTGTTGCCAAAAACTTTTGGTCTCTTTGTTGAATCAGTTAGCGGTTTCTACTATTCAAAAAAATTTCCACTCTTTATCTCAATTACATTTAGCAGCTTACATGATATTTATAATAACATCATCTACTTTTTACAATGCGCAAACAGATAAATCGACTTTCTACGATACTTCTTGATTACAACTGATAAAAAGTACAATTCAAAACTTCAATAACTTCTGTTGTTTGCTGAAATGTTTTCACTTTTGACATAAGATGTATTTCCAAATGGCAAAACGTGTCTCCTCTTTTTAAAAAGACCAAAAATTGTACTTCTAAATTCCCTTTGAAAGAAAGCGTAAGTTAGTGGGTTGAGAAAACTGTTTGAGTACATGAGTATTGCTCCAATTTTCAGGAAGACAAGTGATAAAGAATCCATGAAATCAAAAGCAAACGCAATGTTAACAATTATCAAAGGCAGCCAGCAGCAAATAAAGTTTGCTCCGATAGTTGCAAAAAGGGCGGTCGATTTAATAGCTTTGAAAAAATTTCGAAGCGTTGAAGATCTTCTTTCTTTGCGCTTTGATTTTCCATCATCGTCATTCTCTGGCTCAAGTTTAGGCCTGTGCATCTCAGCTTTTTTCATCGCATCATAGTGCTTTTTGGCAACCATGAATATATACACATAAACTGCAGTAAGAATCAGGCATATGACCAAGACCAGAATTGTCATAAATGCCACGAACCTCTTCTCATAGGTAAAAACATCCAGAGGGGAAAGATTTAGAGCTTCTGCATTGTGTACCCAAATTTGTGGGACGAGTGCTATAACCATTGGCACAGTCCACGCTATGACTAAAACTATGATGAATCTTGTCTTTGTCATAATACTTTGGTACTGCAGTGGGTTCTTTATAGCATTGTATCTATCATAAGTACATCCACAGATGTTGCCAAGCGATGCCAATAGAGCAAATGCAGTCAATGGCCCGTTGGCTGGGCTATCTGGCAGCCATATATTAATTGGGACGAGTATTGCGCTGATCATTAGGTCACTAACGGCCAATGCTATTACAAAGCGATTTGCCAGTGTTCGTAAGCGCCGGTTGATCGAAAAACAGAGAATAACAAGTATATTTGCAAGTGCCAAGATAACACAGTAGACTGTTAAACTTATTTGACCAGTTAAAGTACCAAACAACGACATTGTAGATCGTTGATCTTTTCGAAGTGAGAATATAGACTGTTAAGAATCTTTATCTTTGGACTGAATCACTATGTTGATGATTCTGTGCTTGAAAGTTGGGCCATCTCTGTTTTTTATGCAAGCAGTATTTTCCCGAAGCCAGCCTTTGTGATTTGTTTTTATTTTCCTTCAAAAAATGACGCTATTGAATAGTTTACAAAACAGGTTAATCATTTAGTTTGGAAGTTTGAGATGCTACAAAGAAAGTAAAGAAGCCACGGAATAGAAAAAAAGCGAAGGAAATACAAAGAAGCATTTGCAAATTGTTTTTGATAATAGTGAGCCTGGCAGCTCTTTGTTTTATTGTTTAGAGGTTCTTTATTACATATAAATGTGAATTTACATTTTCCTTTCAATCAGAAAACACAGACGACCAGAAGTTTTGATCAATCTTGAATTGAAATGCTTTGTTGAAAATTATTGTAAGATCTTGACTCTTCTTAAAAAATCGCTCTAATTTTTCATTAATCGGCAATAAAAGTTGTCTTTCGGCTCCTTTACAAATGCTTCAAATGCCATTCTATAAAAATCTATACTTAATTTGCTGATCCAATGAATTTCGTAATCATTTGCATTGATTTGAAATTTACAGCAATATTTTATTGAAAAAAGTCTTTGACTTTGCAACAGGCTAAAACTTCGACTTTATCTGGATCGAAATGCAAGAAGAACAGGATTTTTAATTTTATATTGCTAATGTTATAAAATAAAAGATTGACTTGATGTTTGCTAAATTTATCAGCAAATGATACTGATGACATTTAAAAAGGTACAAGATACCTAAAGTAAAATCTTTAAAGCTTGTTTCATGTAGAAAGTATTACTATTTATCAAATATCTTTTGTCAAAAGTGAATGATTTTAAAACAAATAGAAACAAAAATATAAAATATACCTTTATTTTTTCCTTAGCAAATACTTTTGTTTCGTTAAACTGTTCAAGGTAGCAAAACTATAGCATGCTCCACCTTGAAACTTCCACTTTACTTTGATGTGACCAAGTGGCTGTAGAAAGGTCGATGCACCGTTTTATAGGCAAAATTATGTTGCCCTTTGTTACAATTCTATGGTAAATATTGAAACTTTGCAAATTGCGCACATGGAAAAAAGGCGCCAATCGAGATAAAACGTGGACTTCTGTCTCATTCGGCTTTGCTGGACGTCTGTTTCCAATTTGTAGTGATGATCATAGCATGAAGAATCCAAATTTGTTTGGCGTATAAATTTAGAGAATTAATGTCCATGGTGATTAATCAATTTTTGATGCATCGATTGCCACCCCCTCCTACCCAACTGGTAGAATTATAAACTTCACAGAATAACAGAATCGACACACCATGGCCTTGAAAATGATCAACTAAGAAGCTGTATGTGGTGTAAATGGTTGACAACAATATATTTTCAAGCGCGCAGTTGAAAATTTGACTTCAATTCCAATGAAAGAGATCAATGACGCAAATTGATTATTCAGAAAATTATGTGAATACTCCTTGGAAGCTTGAAGAATTATATTACCTCCAATTCACAATAACGCTTTTCAGATATTTCTTTCAGGTTGTCTATCCTTCTGAAATGATTGCCTCTGGGATTAAAAGCTCCTACACTTTCCATCAACTTAGCACTCAGCCTGTTTCCAACAAAACAAGAAAGTAGTATGTCGACTTCCGTACTTATTTGGAGTCACTTGGTTCTGCATAATTAGATACGAAGACAGGTGATCTTCATCGAATTGGTCCTTTCTTCTCGTTTATCCTGCCTCTAAGACAACAAGAGCTACCGCCAATGTTTGCCCAGTTCCCTCTTAGATTTGAATCAAGTATGAACAACCGCCAAAATGGTGTCTGTTTCTAGTAGGCTGAAAGCAAAGTAGGCCTATGCTGTAAAAGTGAATTATTTTTCATCCTCTGTCCACTATCATACAAGTTTTTCCCTCTAGATCTCGTGGAGTGAAATAAACATTTTCCGGTCACACCAACGGAACAAAACAAATAACAAATGAATGGATGCATTGATCAACGAACAATAAAGTAAATCGATTCAAAAGCATAGAAACAAATACGGAATTTTGAAGCTTCTTGAGTCTATGTAACAAATTGTACTGTTTACCGAAACAGGTCGTAGTTCAGTTCAGTTTACTTTTTGTAAATAGATTAGAAAGTTCAGGAAGTCAAAGGAAGCTAAAATCGTTCTTTCCTAAGTCAATTTTAAGGTACAGGTGATTTTAAGGCTTCTTAAAGTAACGGGTGGCCTGGGATGGCGTCGTAAAAGGCCAATAAGAAAAGCAAACAATGCCGCAAGGTAGGCGCATTGTATTTTACTGTTCGTGGAAACGGATTACCCCTATGGTTATTCTTTGCAGCAGAAGAGAGGATTTCGAGAACTGTTGTTTAATTGTGTAGATCGCCTTAGAACATAAAAACACCACGCATCATACTTGACTGTTTTCCGCTTCGCAATTCTCAGAATTTGAAGTTCAGAATGAAATGAACAAGGTAATCAACAAACTAGATCAAAATCCTAGTTTTAGCCCCAAGTAAATAGGTTTTCTTTAGCAAAATGCAAAGTGAAACAAACAGAAAATCAATAATAACGAAGTAACCCAAACGTTGTTATTTCAAGAGTGAAAGTTGTCTGGAATGTCGTTGCTAACTGGCATCAGAGGGTGGCTGCATTGAAAGAACAACGGGGACTTTCGCAAGAAATACTTCAAAACACAAAAGCAAAATGTAGAAACTTGTTATTTCAAAGGCAGGAATAAATCGAGGGTTGTATAGCCGGCAGGGAAATGAACAAGGCAAAGTTCAAAATTTAATTAAGAGGATTGCAATTTGTTAAACATTTGTAAGCAAGTTTTTGTGCTTTTAGACTTCTTGCATTGCAAATAGCAGTTACTTTAAGCGAACGAATCTCGATTTCAGACTTGCCAAACCATTTTAAATTTACAGTAAAACAATATCATCTCCATTCGTTCTAATTTCTAGTCGAAGTTTCTCGTCCTTTGACGGACGTAGAGTGAATTAGATATGTCACCAACATAGCAAATCGGCTCCGATAATAGAAAATCGTTCTGTTGTCTCCCTTCTGACCCACCTCCCTCTACATCAGCAAAAATCGTTAATAACAAGATTTCGCTGATGGGCTCTCAAAATTTTTTTTCTCAAAATGTTAGTCAACCTTTGTTGTTTACGCCTTTGCTCACGCACTGACTTCAAGTGCCACTTTCAAAAATCGATTTATCTCGTAACAAGTGATAGCATCTGTGTCTTTTTATTTAGTCAACAGTCTTTCAATTTCCATCACCGTTAAATCAAACATTTTCAAAATTACATTAACAAATTTTATGCCATTTGGTAGGTGTGACAATAACTTTTTTGAATTCCTCTCGAAATTCTATAGTAAAAACATTTAACTCTGATAAACAGATGAACAATAAGATCAACGTAAAATTTTTCTTTTCAGCAAACTAAGTGACTCTATACGGGTTGTCAGTTCAATGTTAGCTTATCTAACGTGGAAGTCACCATTTACTATCTTTAGACAGGTACATAACAAGCTCAGGTTTCAGAACCGAGAGAGATAGAGAATTGGAAGAGCACTGCGGTTAAAAACATTACGTGAGTTAACGATCTGGGACTATATTAAAAGTAAAAATCAAAGGAAAATATAAAAGGATGTAGTAGTTGATGGTTTTATATGCGAGTATGAGAAAAGGGAACCACGCCAAAAAAGGGTTTCAAAATAAGAGGTACGGTTGCTTGATTCAGTGTGAATCATATTTGCAACTTGATCAAAAGTGTTTGTTGCAGTGAGAAAAATGGTTTGATAAAAAATAGCGATATCATTGAAAAGAAAATAATATATGAAAATTTCAACCAAAATAAGAATTTGCACAATGATTTATTGCTAGGAATAAAAATGAGGAACTAAGAAGGGGTGGAAGCTTAGAATTAAGAAGCTTATATGACCAGAGTCGAGTAAAGCTGTCATTAGTTTCAAATTTCCAAAACATTCTAAAGTAATAATATTTACGATTTGAATAAAATTAAGATTTTAAGGCAGTAAAAAGAGATAAGGTCCGCGGTGTTCTTATTAAAAAAAGGTTCCCGGAGAGCATCTATAAAATAGCGTTTATTTTTTACTATAATTATATGAAAAAAATTAATATACCTCCGTTTCGTTTCTCAAAATTTTAAAAGCAAGTCATACGGTTTTGTGTAAAGTGTCAAATCTGTCTATAAATTGTCAAAAAACTTTAAACAAGAAAAGGGATCTATAAAAGAATAATATCGATATACAGTGGAATCCGATATATCGAACTCTGGATATAACGAACTTCCCGTTATAACGAACTAAATGTTTGTTTCCCTGGATTCTGCCTTACAAACTGCCTACAAATACCGGATTTGTCGTAATCTCGCTATAATTGTCCTCGATATAACAAATTTTTCATAAATTTGTTTATCTGTTTTTAAACTTAATTATTTTGGGTGTTCGTTTTCCACTTTCTCTTGGGGAAAATCATTTTTGTAATCGGAAAAACATGCTGATGATAGATTCCAAGCACTGTCTGATAGAATCAGAACACGAGGTGAAAGATTAATCGCATCAAAAATTAATGCGAATGAGCAAATTGAGACTAACGAACATCTTCTTACATATGAGTCATTGGCAATTAGCGAAGACAAAATTTTATTGGGAGGCCCAGATAGAAAAGCAGAAAAAGACAAATAGAATGTAAAGTAATCGAAGACGTCATTAGGCCGCCAAATAGAAGTGAAGTGATACCAGCTTTGCCAATATCTTCGTTTAAAACTACAAGAGAAACGTTAAGATTTACAATTTTTTAAGACTAACCATTAGATTTGAATTTAGTTTGGTGTTTTGGAGTAAAATGTGCATAGAAGTCGAAGAAAGCCTAAACAAGCCGGCTAAATGAAATTTTGGCATGTACTTTGGAAAGACCTTAAAACGTCTTCTCTTGGTTTAACGAGCTCCTGATATAACGAACTATTCTCTGGTTCCTTTTAGAGTTCGTTAAATCGGGCTTCACTGTACTTTAAACAAACCATTAACTTTGCGATGAGAAATTGAGATTTTGAAATATATCGATTTATGCGATTTTAAATCATTTAAATATCATTTCAGTAAGTTAGAAGTTTAAAACCTAGCTATAAGCTGCCATGGAGATGAAAAGAAGAAGCATAAATGTTAATGATAATGTCAAGGTAAGGCCTTAAAAAGTTTTTTATTTGAAATTGCTAGACATGGTATCATCTTGCATAGGAGAAATATGAGTAATGGAATCTCCTCAAATAGAACGAAAATGATATCTTTCAATCAACTAATTTTCTCTGCTTGAACTTCAGGGCCGATTTATACGCCGTGCCGTGCCGTGCCGTGCCGTGCCGTGCCGTGCCGTGCCGTGCCGTGCCGTGCCGTGCCGTGCCGTGCCGTGCCGTGCCGTATGAGCAATGCAAGCATTTAGCCAAGTTAGCCATCTTTTCTTTGTTGAACCAATTCCCTTGTTCACACGAGAATGGAACGGAAGCACTGTGTGCCGTTCCACTTTTTGAAGGACTTTTTTGAGAGTGTTGCATTTTCTTCAACGGAAGGTTACGCTTTAAAGTGTTCCCATTTAATGACAACCTCTGAACCTTCCACCTTTTGGAACGGTACGTAATTGTTCCGTGTGAACGCGGCCTGATTTTCCATGTTACCTCTTGTGCACTATTACCAGAACAACAAACGGAAAGAATGAGATATACTCCAAGCAGTATAAACAATTTTGGCATTGTATAATGAGTTTTGCCGTTTTTTGCCATTCATTTAAGGCCTGTATTAACCACTTTTACAAAACACGATCCAAATTTTTATGCGGATAAAATGAAATTTTATCAGAGTTAATTTCACGAGGGATGTTGTAGAATTTGATTTACTAGGGGTTTTGTTTTTATCTGAATTGTCTTTTCCTTTTTGGGTGTTAATCATCTTGCTCTCACTCTGGTAGTGCCCATTTCTTATGTGCCCATTTCGATGCATTTGGGGTATAGGGCAGTAGGAGTTGTGTATTTTGGGTTTCTACACGGGGTTGTTGATCCCTTGGCTCTGATGATGGTATTTAAGCGTTTGGGTGGTGCTTACCGTGATTGTTGGTAAACTTTTCAACGCTTTTCTCTTTTCCCGTTCCCTCCCTCCCTTTTTGGTATCTAGCAAAGGGTGTTTTCATTTCCATGTCTTTTAAAATCTTTTTTTCTTCTTAGGAATTAGCTACTTCACAGTATTCTTTTAAAGGGTCCTGTTGTTTTTTAGTTTAGAAAGGGTCCGGCTTTTTATCCTGCCATATTTTGTCTTTCTCTCTCATACCTTAGGTATCTAAGGTAGGACTAGTGCATCGGCTCCCTGGTAGGAAAAAGTTATCTTTTCTTGTCCATTCTCTGCCCTGAACTTAAAACTGCTTGCATTTAAGTTATTCAAGCTATATCTAGGGTTTTTATTTGGGTTAGGTGGAGCAACTTGTGCCGATGCACCAACGGCCCAACGCTGCTCCCTGTGATGAGGGAATGTAGCCTCGATGCCTGATTTGATGATAGATGTGGCAATGTTATTTTTGGGAGAGCTATTTTTATCAAAGCAAAAACATTCCTCTGTTGATGTTATTCTCCCGAATAGAAAATTAATAAAAATTTTGTCAGGAGGAAGGCTTCATATGCGAATTCTTACATGAGATTTATCTTACTCGCATAAAAAACCCTTGAAATTGATAGCCAATATCTTGACTGCAATATTTCCTAAAAGATGGAAAAGATTTTGGGAAAAGATTTTGAGCGAACCAACTTTTTTAGTTTCTAGTTTCAAACCGCGGGAGATTTAGGCAACTTGAAGTGGATAGTTAAAATGCATAGTACAAAACTGTCTTGCAGAAGAGTCTTGTGAAGGAAAGAAATAAATTTGAAATAGAGATGAAGTGTTAAAAACAAAAAGTCTCCAGTACTGGCGTACTTTTTTATGATTAGTCTATGTGTATTGTTTCCCTTATTTGACTATAAAATTTTATTTTGTTGCATCAGTTTGACTAGTGAAATTTTTCACGAAGATACGATAGACGGTGTGTAAATTAATCATATAGAACTGAACGTTAAGAAGCTCTAGGCAGTTTATTTTACTTTGATTGCCAAGGACGATTTGGTCAACATAGCTTTGCTTAAAGG